TTCAATTAGCTGATTTGACTAACTGATTCAATTAGCGATTTGTATTAAAGTGTTTGGTAAAATAACCGTTTGAAATTAGCTGTTTATACATAAAATGACTATTAAGGACATATGTTATTTTTTTAAAATATTTAATTTTGTTATTTTTTTTTTAAATTTATGAGAATTTTTGTTATTAATTATTAAAAATTATAAAATATTTATTTTTATTTTGATTATTTAGATTTGAAAAAATTATTTTTACTAAAGAATAATAATTTTTTATTGAAATTATGTAAAATATGAAATAATAAATCGTGTATATATTTTTATTATGTTAATTATTGTTTTAATATATATAAATAAATTAATAACCTTTATGTTTATGTGTGATTTAGTTTTAAAAATTTATATATTTTACAAAAACAATAATTTATATGTAATAATTAATATTAATTATTATTTTAAATTTATAAAAAATATAATTTAATAAATTAAATATATTAAAAATAATTAATAAATACTTCTATAAAAATATATTTATATGTATAAAATAAATAATTAAGTTTTAAGGGTAAATAAGAAATAATCAAAATTAAAATGAAAAAACTCTTTCAAAACGCTGGGTAGATGAATTTTTCAGAAATTAGTTTTTTTTTGTCCAAAAAACTTTTTCAAAAAACTAATTTACCAAACACCTAAATTAGCTTTTTGATTGGTTAAAAGCTAATTTACCAAACACCTAAATTAGTTTTTTCAAAAAACTTTTTCAAAATGTTGTTTCTCAAACACCCTCCTAACCTAAACAAAATTTTCCATTGCTTTTGGCATCAAGATAGTCTGACTCTTGGGGGGTGTTTGACAAATAGCTTTTTGAAAAGCTTTTAGCTTATTGAACAGTTTTTAGCTGTTTGATCAGTCAAAAAGCTAATTTAAGTGTTTGGTAAATTAATTTTTTGAAATAGCTTTTTGGACCCAAAAGCTAATTTCTGAAAAGTTAATTTAACAGCGTTTTGAAATAGCTTTTTCTGTAAAAATTTTTTATTCCTTATATGCCCTTAAAAATTTATTATGTATTTTACACAAATAAATATATTTTGATTATTTATTAATTATATTAAAATATTTTATTATATTATAGTTTTATTTTTATAAATTTAAAATAATTAATTTTTATATAAAAATTATTTTAATTGTAAAATATATTAATTTATTAAAATCAACATAAAATAGAAAATATAAATATTAGTAATTTATTTTTATATTAAAATTATATTATATAAATTTTATAGTAAAAACAAATTAAATTTATTGAAAGTTATAAATATAATGAACTAATCGATAACTAACATAATAAATATATACACAAAAAATTTATTATTTTATATTTTATATCATTTTTAATAGAAAAAACTATTTATATATTTTAATAAAAAAATATATATATTTTTTAAATATAACTATATTAAAAATAAATACTTTTATAACACTTTTACAATTTTCAATAACTAATAACAAAAAAATTTTAAACATTATAAACTCAAAATAACATAATTGAATATATTATAAACAAAAATAAAATAGAAATGTCCTCAATTGTCATTTTACGTATAAACAGCTAATATCAAACAGTTGTTTTACCAAACATTTTATACAAACAACTAATTGAATCAGCTAGTCAAACCAACTAATTGAATCAGCTAACAACTATCAGCTAATTGAATCAGCTAACAGTTATAAACTAATTGCCAAACACGCCCTTAATTATGTCAAAAATTAGACTATAGTAATTAGGGTGCGCAAAAAAATTGAAATTTAACCGCTAAATCGAACTGAATCGAATCGGACTTTTGGTTCATCGAGCAAATTCGATTTGAATATAAATATTGCATATTTGATATTTGTTAGTTCGGTTCAGTTTTAGTTTTTTTATATTTTTTTCAGTTTGCTTATATATTTATATTATTATATTTTAAAATTTATATTATAATTATATTCGGTTCGAATATTTGAAATATTTGCAAATATTTTTATTTAATTAGAATTTTATTATTTTTTAATTTTGGTTCGAATATTTGAAATATTTGCAAATATTTTATTTAATTAAAATTTTAATTATTTTTAATACTATATTGTTTTAAAATTTCGGTTCGGTTCGAATTATTTGTAAATATTTTTGATTAACCGAAAATTCGATTGGATACGGTTCACAATTTCAAAAAAAAATTCAATTCAGTTAAGATATCAAATACCTGCGTATTTACAAATATCTAAACCGTGTATATCACTACGTAATAAAATAGAAAATATATATATATTCTTGTCCTTCCAATAAATTAGCTAAGTAGTTGGGCAAATATATTGAAATTTCAGAAAGTAATAATATTTTTAGGAGAAACTAATAGGTATGTAATTAGTTTTGGATGGATTAGATGGGAAAAAAATAAGGGCAAAAGATGATGACAACATCATGCACTTGCAACTACTTCATTTTCCCCCTAAAACCTGTGCCATTAGCTTTGCATTTCTTTTCATTTTTTATTCTCATCAATCAAATATTTTTCTTATTAAATAGTACTTCATCCGTCCCAAATACCGTGTTTGCTACGCGGTAAACATAGTATTTTAGGAGGGGTATAATTAGTAGATAATAATTAAGAATGTATTAGTGAAAATAATTATCCTATAATATAAATAATTATAAATTAAGATTAAGATAACTAATTAGTTTAATTTAAATTTAAAAAAAAGTAAAAATTTAAAATGAGATTAAAGTGTGTAATCATTTTCCAAAAAAGGAAAGTGACATGGTATGTGGGACGGACAGAAACGGCAATATGGACATGATAATAAAATTAATAATGTATTATTCCTCAATTATAAAGTAACTAGTAGGGTTAAAACGAGAAATTAATTATTTGATGTTATTTTTTTAAATGATAAATTAAATTTTTATGTTATTATTATTTTTATATAGTAACTATATATTTTTAAAATATTTATACAATTATCAAATATTATTATTGTTATTAAAAAACAATAAATAGATTATACATTTATTTTTGTTGATATTTTACATTAGATATGCTAATATATATTTTGAAAAATAAATTTTTTTAATAGTTATTAGTATTAGAAAAATAATAAATATGAATATTATTAAAAAATTATAAAATATTCAATAATAACTGGTAAATATATTGAAATAATTTTTTTTTATCATATGTATTTTTTTTTTTTTTTTCTATTTTATTTTAAATATATCAATTTTTTTATATATACTTATTTATCAATAAAATATTATTATTTTTAATTTAATAAAATAAAAAGTGAGAGATATAATTAAGATGGAAGAAATAATATATAAACTATGACTTTGTCAATTGAAATTAAGTACTGTATATTATTAAATATTAATGCTAATGGGTATATATATATATATATATATATATTCCTATTAAAGTTATTTATTTGTTAATTATTTGGAGAAATACGATTATATTATTCAAAATGATTTTGGGTTTGTTTTGCTAGTATTTTGGTTTGAAATATTTTTTACTGTGAATTATCATAACAAAAATGTTGAAATTTAACTACCAAAAAACCGGTAGTAGAAGGTAATAAATTCATAGTAAAAATTTTTTTGCTACAAAATGAGCATTAGCAAAGATCTATTGCGATAAATATGATTTTTGTAACAAAAAATATATTTTTTTGCAATGAAAGTTTAAAATTATATATAGCTACAAAAATATAATTTCGTAGCTAAAACTATTTTTCTATAATAATAAAAGAGTTTTATCAACAAAATATACATGAGTTTTTTAGCCAAATGATTTTAGCTAAAAATATTGTAGCTAAAACCCCTTCGCTGTAAAAATGGAATTTCTAGCAAAAAAAAATACTTTATCAACAAAATTAAGTTTGTAGTACATAATTTAATTTTAGCAATTTAATTAATTTTTGTTGCTAAATAACACATTTTAACTACAAAAATACTCCGGAGTTAAAAATATTGTAACTAATTAAATACTTTTTGGTAGTATATATAAAAAATTATGTATATAATATAAAAATAATATTTTATGTTAAATGTTGATTTTTCGTGAAATGTTAATATATATATATTGAGATGTGTCTGGAAAAAAATATTGAAATATCAAACCTTTGTTATTTCAAATCGGCATAAAATGTTGTATATAAAATTTGAAGCACTTGAATATTCCCTTATAATACAATATAAATTAATTTTTAAATTGTTTAGTTTGTGTTTTAATAAAATTCGAATAAGCTAATATATTTCAAATATAAAAATATATTATACCAAAAATCATATAAATAAAAAATCATTAAAATCTCAGATTTGTTCTCTAGTATTATTTTTCAATTGCGATTCTTAAATTTTATATTTTTGATTTAATATTTTGTACCATACACTAAAAATAATTTTATCTAAAAACATTGAGTGAATCAATACTAAAATCATGAGTTCAAATTTTGAATGCGTCAATATTTATCTACCACATATAATTATCTTAGTATGGTTTGTTTTATCAATCTAATTTACAGAAAATGTGTTATTGTGCTATTCACATTCAGCACAGTAATTGCCGCAATTCACATGCTATTAAATTTGACAGAATTTTCACATTAATTAAAAAAAAATAAAATAACTAAGCTAAATAAATAAATTAACACCAATATCGCATCAACAAGAGGGATTCTCAGTATCAATCTCCACTTCAACCAATACAATAATGAAAAAAAGTAAACTATCAATAAATAATTTTAATAAAAATATATTACTACAATTATATAAATATTAATCAATAATTATATTTAAATTAAATTAAATTAAACGAATAATCTAAACAATAAAATTATTCAATAATTAAACATATTAATTTTAAGCACATAAGCCATCACAAAACACACGACCCTAATGCAAAAAAAAAAAAAAAAAAAAAAAAAAAAAAACCCCTAAATCAACCGCAAACCGCCGTCCCTCCCACTTACTTTTCTTCTTCTTCTTCCTCTTCCTCTTCTTCTCCACATTCCTCTTTCTTTTGTCTTTGTTTGCGGGTGTATATCATATCGTCTTCTCGGGCTTTCTTTTCCCCTTCTTCAGTTTCGAATTCGGCTTCGTCTCCGTCTCTCCGGCCATCCTCTTCACCGCTGAGTTCTTTCTTCCAGCCACGCTATCCTTTTTTCCGATTGCAATTGTAAGGTACAAATTATCCTCTCTTTCTTCTTCTTCTTCTTCGGAGCAAGCATCATTCTCTTTTCTTTGTTTTTTTCTTTTTGTTGGTGTCTCTCCCTTCGGCAGTGGCCTCACATCCGTTTGTCATTTTGCTGATTCTGTAATAATGTGTATAATAGATAATTCGTATTTATAATGGCACAATGTTTGTCATTTGGTTGATTCTGTAATAAGTGTGAAAGTTTTTTCATATTGTTTTGTTTTCGCCTGTGCAATCGGATCAGTTGTGTGGATGTGCGGCTCGGCAGTTGTGGATGTTCGGCGGCAGCAATCTGCATCTTTAGCATTTTAGGAGATTTAGTAGACATGATGGGTGTTATTAATTTTAATGGTGGAATCGTGAGACCACCTTCACTACAAAATAAAAGAAAATATCGCAGTGGCGAAACACTTTCGTCGGTAAAATATATAATATATACGATTCTGATCATCCAACTTTAAGTGCAATTTGGTGAACCTGCAGAATCGTGCGTCGATATAGGGTGGGGATGGAAATGGAAATCTCTGGTGCCGGCGGTGACGCTTTGGATCTATCGTACAGGCCACTGCCGCCAGTATACTTCACTCTGATGGTTGTATGGATTTTGTCCTCTGTTTCGTGGACCTTCAACACTTACAGGAACAACCAATTTCAGGTCGTTTTTTCATTTCCAATTGCTTCCGTTCTGTGGCTTGTGTTAATTTGCATGCGTAACCTTCGCCAAATAGGAAAATGATAGTTTTTAATTGGTTACTGATTATGTGATATAGTCGGTTTTACAGAGGATATTTACGAAGTTGAACAAATAGAATTTGATTCCCCGATGTAAAAGTTCGATATGCATGGATAGAGCCTTGTCAAATTGAAAAATGGCATTTTTTTTTAGTATCTGTATTGGAATAAATTGGATTTTATTTTGCTATTGTTTATGCAATATGTTATTTAGTTTTTGTTGAAATAATAAGAAATACATCTCAATTCTATACAATTTGTGTTTTCTATTTCCTAGAGCAGCCGAATAAGTTGCAATGGATGCTCGCTTCTGTTCCATGGATTAAAGCTTTACAACTTTTATTATCTTTTCTCTTCTGGTATGTCTATATCTCTAATGATTAAATATATTTTGAGCACAAGTACTTCCATTTAAGGTCATTTATTGCTTTATTGAAATGTTCTGTTGCTAATAGTTCCTTTAACTAGTTTGGATTACTGTTTGATTTTTCTGCTTTCAGGTATTCATGTCTTTATACAGATGTGTGCTCTTTATGGATGTCGTTCGGAGTCTATACAATGGGAGTACTAGTTAAAATATGTGCTTTTGTGTCATTCTTTCTCATTTCGCACGGCTACTGCATCACCTGCCATCGTCTTTCTTTGTCCGAGCGCCGATCCATGGCTTCTCTGGGGTGCATATTCTACTTGACCCTTGTTGGTTTCAGAGCCTCGCTACCATATTTCTCCGTGAGCTTCATCTTCTTCAGTTGTTCTTAGATCTCATTCTTGTTTGTCGTGAGGATTCAACTGAATATGAATTACTGTCAATTCTCTACAGGTGCTCTTGTTGCTTAACTATCTTGTTTTGTTCTACGTAATATTCAACCACATATCTCATAACTTAGATGCTTTACGGGAACAATTGAGCTTTATAGAAGATGAGGATATCCGGGCAATGCATGATGCGGTTTACACCAAGTACATCATGTTCAAGTATGAAATTTTTTTACTATGCAATTTTGAGCTGCAATCACATAGATGCAAACCACTTTGATTTTAATAACTCTGCATTTTTGTGGTCATTTAGGAAATTTCAGGTTGCAATGCACTATGTAGCTGTGTTGGAAATTGCAGTAAGAACAATTTAACCAACGCATTTAATCGATAAATTGCTATAGTCATAATTGCACTTTTGCCTATTCAGTAATCAAGCATTTTCATATTTTATTTTTTTTTTAGATTTTCATTAGTCTGAACAACTCCTTGGAGAGTTATTGGGTCCGGATGTTGGTTCGAGAGTGCGCACAATTTATCATATTCACATACATTGGGTAACTATCATTGTTATTCTGAACCAAAGTACGATGCTGGATTGTGGACTTACATGTTCCTATAACAGATGGGTTTTTAGATCTCAAGAATTAGCCCCTCGCTTCTCGGTGATGCCTGCATTGAGGTCCGAGGGGGTTACAGTAGTGCCTCCCATTTACAGCATTGTAAGTTCCAGTCTTCACTTCTTACAATATGCAGCATTATCTAATAGGAAATGACATGTAGTTTATTGTCCCAATTTAAATGATCACTTCCTATTATGAACTCCGTAAAGCTCATATTTGTTTTTTGATTAACAAAATATGAACATGACTAACTATTTGCAAGATCTTCTTGAGCAATACTATCATTACAGGACTTCATAAAAAGATTATTCATTTCACGCTTGTTCCACTTCGGTAAAAGTTTAAGATAATACAAATTGAAATGTGAACAATATTTAAACTTTACTATTAGTGGTTGCCAAAAGTTTCAAACTTTGAGCTAAGACAATGCTGAAAGTATGCCAAGAACACCGCAGCAACTCTGCCTCGACTAAGACTTTTTTTGTTCTTTTGCGAATACAAATGCAGGAAATGGATGCAGAGACTTTCAAGGAATTCGGAAGCCATGAATGGCACATCGGTGTGGTAAGTTGCCCCTGTCTTCTTCGCAAGCACATTTTACTTCTTGAAGCAACTGGTCTGATCACATTCCATATGGTTCTTTAATACTACTTGTAGCCGACTTTGCCATGCAATGGAAGCGTAAATGAAGCTGTTTTAGTTGTAATTCGGCAGCCGCACGCATGTAGTAGCGGCTCATTAGCCAATTCTCAAGCCGCGTAGGAAAGGCCAGAACTGTCCGGCCATCGACTCAGATGACTCTAGAAGGTTCCAGATAGATAGATAGATGCATGGATCCTTTTAGCATTCTCCAGCACCTAAAATTCTACAAAATTTTCCATTCATGAGTCTGCTTTTTGTTCCACTTTGAAGTTAATCAAATGATGATGATACATAACTTTATTATCCCATTTGGCGTTGGCTGGATGTTGAATTGAAGGAATTTGTACATTCTTGTCTCTGTTGTATATATATATATATGCTTATAGTCTTTTTATTTGAATTTTATAGTGTTAACATAGAGATTCAATTGGATTTTATTGTATATGTACTATTGTTGGAAAATAGGGTTCGATCAAATCTCTTTCAAAAAAAGAAAAGTACCAACTCTCGAAACATGGTTAACTCACAAGAATAATAAATCATTGTCAACAAAATAAATCGACAAGTGTTTGTTGACCCGTGAATACCAATTTACGAATAGTTCAACTATAATATTTCTTTATTATTGAAGAATACTTAAAAAATTGTACAGTAAGAGCTGAATTTACGAATAGTTCAACTATAATATTTTTTTATTATTGAAGAATACCTCAAAAATTATTTCAACTATAATATTTTTTTATTATTGAAGAATACTTAAAAAATCATACAGTAAGACAGCTCGGAGCTGGTCGTCTCCTCTAGTTGGATTAGGAGGGAAGTGGTGAGAGCTAGAGTGTATTATTATAATTTTTCTCTTAATTTTGTATTTCAAATGTGATCACAAGCTAAGGCAAAGCTATCTGAGGCTACAACCGACTAAAAAAATCGAACTAATTAATTTCTTTTTGCGCTAATATGAAATGTGATGTTTTTTCATATATTCTACATTACTTTAATTTACTTCATTCAACTTTTTTGTCTCTATTTCATATTTGAACGGATGAGACAAAATGGTTTTGATCTATCTAATGTATGTTTGTCTGCAACTAGACAATTGTTGTAATTGGAATCTGATCACAACTGCTATAGGTAAGTGAGTTTTGTCCATATACCAGAATAGATAATAAAGGGTATTTTTCATTTAAAAATAATGTTGATTTAACAATTATACATTTTACTGATGACGTCAAGCCACAAAGGTTGCACATATGCAACTTAGATAATGAAGGAAATTATTTTTTTATAGGTTTATTTATATATATATATATGTGCAAAAAACCTAATATTTATTCAAATGTTTATTTTAAGTAGGGCTGACGAGACTTATGTCTTATACTGCATACCGTACTTCGGTATGATAACAATTATCGTTACGGAACCGATAAACCGGCATACCGAAAATTCAGTATGACTTATATATTATACCGTACCGTACCGATTATTCTGTATGCCGAACTATCTGTACATTATCATTATATACCAATTTATACTGAAATACCGAAATTTAAACACTATCAATATATATCGTATTATACCGAAATACCGAAATTTAAACGGTATTGACATATACTGTATTATACCGATATATCGAAATTTAAATGATATCGGTATATACCACATTATATCGAAATATAGAATGACGAACCTAAAACAACAAGTCAATAACACATCATTTCATATTGTATCATACAAAATAATAACATACTTACGTACCAAATTTAAAACCAATATGATTAATAGACAATAATATATATTAAAGAAATAACACACAAAAATACATAACTTCAGTAATACCGAATATACCAAGGTACCGAAATATAAATAATAATTCGGTATATCGGTTTTTTTTGTATATTTCGGTATATATAAAAATAAATACTGAAAAAATCGTAAATGTATACTGTTACCGTACGGAAATTTACGGTATACCAAAAATTCGATATTTTTGATACTCCCTCCGTCCCATAAATATAGTCTTAATTAGGTTGGATACGAGATTTAAGGAATATTGATATTACATTGATAGTTGGTAAAAAGTATGGATAAAAGATTTTTTTGCCCTTACAAGTGTATTAGTGTAAAAAATAGTGACAATTGTATAATAAAAATGAAAAAGTAGGGGTAGTTTTACGGTGATATGGTTATTTATAAAAATAAAAGTATTATTTTGGAACGGATAAAAATGATAAACAAAATTATTGTATTGAAACAAAAAGAGTATAATTTTTCGTACTATACATGCGGTGTTTCGGTAGTTCCGTATATTTTCCCACACCTAATTTTAAGTTTATTGTACTAATTTTTTTATTAAAAATTTGATCAAATCCAGAACCCTGATTTTTGGGTTTTTTGAGCCATAATTTGGGCCCTTAGAATAATGGGCCCAATATAACGAAGAGCTTTGTTCAGCCCCATCAGAACTTCTGCCGCATTTGAGTATCGCTCGAACAACACGATGGCAGTGAATACGATGCTTCACCAGTCCAGGCAGCCATTGACGAGAAGCAGCTGAAGCAGATGAGTGCGGGTAATCATGTGTTTCTCTGATAATCGGACTTAGATTGTACCTTTCGTGAGTATCTTGTTTTTGACAGTTTTAGAGGAGGACGATCGTTTTCACTATTGTTCGAGCTAGGGTTTCGTTTTGGATTTAGTGAATATAGATTCATTTTGGATAATTTCTCGGCATAACTGATTGATTCGCGAGACGTTGGATAAATGTTTTTGTCTGTTGTAATTACTTCGATTCTTAGTTGATCATAGGCGATTTATGAATCTGAATTCTGGTGAGAAATGTGGAATTAGAACAATCCTTGGCTGATCGCAGGCTTATGCTTATGGTTCCTATCATTATTGATAAGATGCTCTTTGGATAATCGATATAGTCTTTTGATACATCATCCAAAGTTGTAGAGATTTCTGTGAAGAATTATTGGCTTAGTGCGTGTTTATTTGTGTTTTGGGTCCTTTTATTAAGGAAAAAATATAATCTTTTTGTTCCAGAACTATAGCAAGTATAGATAAACTATAGTATGTATTTTGTTGAATATATTAGTGTAAAAAATAGCGGTAATTATGTAATAAAAAAAAATAGAGGTAGTTTTATGGTGATAAAAATGGTAAACAAAAGAGTATTTGTGTGTTGGGTTGTTTTACTTTTGCATCTTGATATTTCAATATTAATTATTATATTCTTTCCGTCCTGTTGGAAGGGTAGCATTTGCTTTTTGTACGTAGATTTTTTAATATTAGTATTATATTGGATTACAGTAAAAAGACAAAAATATCTCTATTAGTATGGTGTAATGTAAAAGTAACGACATTTATATAGTATATTGTAAGTTGAAAGAATATTTATTATGTTAAGTAGGTAGTACAATTATTAAATTAAGAAATTGTAATCTTGTTTTGGGATGGACGAAAATGGAAAATGGTAACCAATGAGACGGAGGGAGTATCAAACTATAGTACAAATTAGAAAAAAATTAAAAAAAAATATTTCTATTAGTGTCTTGTAATACTAATAGAAAGAAATTTGTACAAAAAATTATACAAATATAAGAATATTTTTAATGTTAAGTACACAAAAGATAAATATTATTTGAAAAATTACTTTTTTTTTTTCTTTCTCTTTTTTTATACTATACTACAAATTTATTTTATATTCAAAATATTACTTCATCATCTATTTATATCACATCAAATAACTATTCAAATTCAATATTTTACTCTGAAAAAATCGAAACCATCCAAACCCACAGACAAACACACCCTTTGTTCGTACTGTTATCATATATTTTGGGTTCACAATAATACATTTATGCTACATTAACATTTGTTATATATCTTGTATCGAAATTAATTACGACATATGTTATATAGAACTAATCAGCACCTTAATCACTATCTTCTATGAAACAAAATAATACTCAAACGTCCATCAATTTTTTTTCTATTATTATTATTATTATTATTTTTTTCTGTTCATTAAATTTTACTCAATTAATAATTTTGGTAAAGTAAAGTTCAATATTTAACTATTATTTCTGATTCAATACTTATTTAATAAATTATTAATATTTTTATTATATTATCTATATGTTTTCTTTAATTACTATCTAGATTTTAAAAAATATTCACTCCATACGGAATAAGTTTATATTTACATTTTTCAGTATTTAATATTAAAATATTTTTTATTTGTATAATTTTTTATATAAATATCATATATTTGTATTATAAGATGCTAATAGAAATATTTTTGTCTTTTATTTTTTATTTATTTATACTATATTTTAATATAATAATTAATAATTGAATAATCAATGCTAAAAAAAACAAATATAAACCTTGAAAGTGAACGGAGATAATATCTCTAACTACTTTTTTTTCAATAAAAATATTTATTTTTTTAATCTCCACAACGAAGAAAGTAGTATTTATTATATATTATCGTATATATATTAGAATTGTTGAATTTGGGGTATTATTTTAACAAAAAAAAAAACACGATATTTTCCGAAAAATATTAAAATATTATATATATTTATTATTTTTATATTTTTTATATAATATTTTATGTTTCACATATAAAAAAATATACAAGTAAGTTATCTTACAAAACAAACACATATTTTCAACCAAAAAAAATAAATAGAATCTTGCTTATATTATTATATATTAGATTTGAATAAAGTTAACAAATTTGACATATTTTCATGTTATCAAAATTATTATAAGATTTCATAATTCAACAACAAATATATTATAAATTTCTAAATTATTATTATATTTCACTATAAAAAGAAAATAGGAATTTAAAAAAGTTGGCAAGTATTCCGACAAATACCATAACCCCTCCCTCCCTAAGCCCACAGAAACACACGTGTATGTATGTATATATATATATATATTCTTGTCCTTCAAAGACTAATATAGGTATGTAATAAATTATTTTTGGATGGATTGGATGGAAAAAACAAGGACAAAAGATGATGACAACATCATGCACTTGCAACTACTGCATTTTCCCCCTAAAACCTTCCCATTCGCTTTGCATTTCTTCTCTTATTTTTTTTTATTCTCATCAATATATATATATATATTTGTAATAACACTAATAATATATTATTCCTCAATTTTAATATAATTATGATAGTACAACTTTGAAATTTCATTTTCTATTTTACATTTTTACCCCTCCCCGCACAACGGGACCGAGAGGGGCAGAAATGGTATTTTGCCCATTTTGCTGAACCTGCAAAACCGTGCGTCGATTTAGGGTGGGGATGAAAATGAAAATATCTGGCGCCGGAGGTGACGTTTTGGATCAATCATACAGGCCACTGCCGCCGATATACTTCACTTTGATGGTTGTATGGATTTTGTCCTCCGTTTCGTGGACCTTCAACACTTACAGGAACCGCCAATTTCAGGTCGTTTTTTCATTTTCAATTGATTCCCGTTTTGTGGCTTGTGTTCATTTGCTTTTGAGTTTCAGTCGTATCGTTAGCGTCCGTATTTTCATTTTTGTAAACTTTGTGCGAGTTGAGCTGCTACAATTTCACTTATTTTGAGATAATTTTACCGAGGATATACGATGTTGATGAAATAACATTCTTGTTCAATGTAACAGTTCGATTTGCATGCGTAACCTTCGCCAAATTGGAAAATGACCGTTTTTTAATTGGTTACTGATTATGTGATATAGTCGGTTTTACAGAGGATATTTACGAAGTTAATACGTAAAAGTTCGATATGCATGGATAGAGCCTCGTCAAATTGAAAAATGCCAGTTTTTTTTTAGTATCTGTATTGGAATAAATTGGATGTTATTTTGCTATTGTTTATGCAGTATTTTATTTATTTTTGGTTGAACTAATAGGAAATACATCTCAATTCTATACAATTTGTGCTTTCTATTCACTAGAGCAGCTGAATAAGTTGCAATGGATGATCGCCTCTGTTCCATGGATTAAAGCTTTACAACTTTTATTATCTTTTCTCTTCTGGTATGTCTATATCTCTAATGATTAAATATATATTGAGCACAAGTACTTTCATTTAAGGTCATTTATTGTTTTCTTGAAATATTCTGGTGTTAATAGTTCCTTTAACTAGTTTGGATTACTGTTTGATTTTTCTGCTTTCAGGTATTCATGTCTTTATGCAGATGTGTGCTCTTTATGGATGTCTTTCGGAATCTATACAATGGGATTACTAGTTAAAATATGTGCTTTTGTATCATTTTTTCTCATTTCGCACGGCTACTGCATCACCTGCCATCGTCTTTCTTTGTCTGAGCGCCGATCCATGGCTTCTCTGGGGTGCATATTCTACTTGACCCTTGTTGGTTTTAGAGCCTCGCTACCATATTTCTCCGTGAGCTTCATCTTCTTCAGTTGTTCTTAGATCTCATTCTTGTTCATCGCCAGGATTCAACTCAATATGAATTACTATCAATTCTCTACAGGTGCTCATGTTGCTTAACTATCTTGTTTTGTTCTACGTAATATTCAACCACATATCTCATAACTTAGATGCTTTACGGGAACAATTGAGCTTTATAGAAGATGAGGATATTCGGGCGATGCATGATGCGGTTTACACCGAATACATCATGTTTAAGTATGAAATTTTTTTACCATCCAGTTTTGCGCTGCAATTAGATAGATGCAAACCACTCTGATTTTAATCTCTGTATTGTTGTGGTCATTCAGGAAATTTCAGGTTGCAATGCACTATGTAGCTGTGTTGGAAGTTGCAGTAAGAACAATTTAACCAGCGCATTTAAACGATAAATTGCTGTTATAGTTGCACTTTTGCCTATTCAGTAATTGAGCATTTTCATTTTTTTTTCTTCAGATTTTCATTAGTCTGAACAACTCCTTGGAGAGTTATTGGGTCCAGATGTTGGTTCGAGAGTGGGCACAATTTATCATATTCACATACATTGGGTAACTACCAATCTATTTTATCGTTGTTATTCTGAATTAAAGTACAATGCTGGGATGTGGACTTACATGTTCTATAACAGATGGGTTTTTAGATCTCAAGAATTAGCCCCTCGCTTCTCGGTGATGCCTGCATTGAGGTCCGAGGGGGTTACAGTAGTGCCTCCCATTTACAACATTGTAAGTTCCAATCACCCTCCACTTCTTACAATATGCAGCATTATCTAGCCAGAAATGACATGTAGTTTATTGTCCCAATTTAAATGATCACCTCCTATTATGATCTCAGTAAAGCTCAGATTTGATCTTTATTTAACAAAATATGAACATGACTAACTATTTACAAGATCTTCTTGAGCAATTCATAAAAAGATTATTCATTTCAAGCTTGTTCCACTTTGGTGAAAGTTTAATATAATACAAATTGAAATGTGAACAATATTTAAACTTTACTATTAGTGGTTGCAAAAGTTTCAACCTTTGAGCTAAGACAATGTTTAAAATATGCCAGAACGCTGCAACAACTCTGCGTCGACTAAGATCTTTGTTTGTTCTTTTGCGAATAAAAATGCAGGAAATGGATGCAGAGACATTCAAGGAATTCGGAAGCCATGAATGGCACATCGGTGTGGTAAGTTGCCCCGGTCTTCTTCTCAAGCACATTTACTTCTTGAAGCAACTGATCTAATCACATTCCATATGGTTCTTTAATACTACTTGTAGCCGACTTTGCCATGTAATGGAAGCGTAAATGAAGCTGTTCTAGTTGTAATTCGGCAGCCGCACACATGTAGCAGCGACTCATTAGCCAATTCTCAAACTGCGTAGGAAGGGCCAGGGCTGTCCAACCATCGACTCGGATGACTCTAGAAGGTTCCATGAAAAAGGTACCAGAACCAGAGGTCATATCCATATCATAAACATCCTAGATGGATAGATAGATATGTTGATCCTTTTAGCATTCTCCGAACACCTAAAATTCTACAAAATTTTCAGACTCATGAGTCTGCTTTTTGTTCCACTCTGAAATTAATGAAATGATGATGATACATAACTTTATTATCCCATTTGGCGTTGGCTGGATGTTGAATTGAATGAATTTGTACATTCTTGTCTCTGTTATACATATGTTTGTAGTCTTTCTATTTGAATTTTGTAGTGTTAACAAATTTATACTATGGTTATATATAACATAGAGATTCAACTGGATTGATTGTATATGTATTATTGTTGAAAAATAGAGTTCCACAAAATCTCCTTCAAAAATGATGTCAGATTAATAGTGTTGAATGTGTTTGAAATTATACATAAGCCATGAGAGTTGCACATATGCAACTCCAATAATCAAGGAGATTATTTTTTTTTATAGGTATTTCTAGTACTAAAATAATAAATAAAGGGACTAAAAATAAATAATTTAATCCGTATTTTAAATAATAAGAAGTATTTTAAGTTATTTTATTTTTTAAAAAATATACTATAAATATGATCAATGTGTTTTAAATATATATATATATATATAAAAGCAAAGCTTAATCTTTAGTAAAATGTTTACAATATGAAATGATCATTTTAAGTTTATTGTATTAATGTTTTTTATTTAAAATTTAATCAGAATCCAATAATTTTTGAGCCATAATTTAGGACCTTAGAATAATGGGTCCAGTATAAGGAAGTGGTTTGTTCAGCCCATCAGAACTTAGGTTGCAATTTGAGTATCACAGACTTGTCCAAACCGTTCAAATTGTCGATTACGGTTTGTCAAAATTTTAAATCGAAATTGAATTTTTTGAATAACAGTTTCGGCTGTAATTTAACGCTATCGATTACGGTTTATAAACCATCGGTTTCGATTTGCACTGCCGGTTTATATAAATTTATTTTTTGTTAAAAATTTGTTTCTCCTTAAGATCGATACGTAAGTTGTTCCTGCCACCAAATAATAATCACTAAGAATATTTGTAGGTTAGTACCAATAATCAGAATAACAATAAATATAAATTAAGAAAAACAGTGCTACAATAAAATATCTGAAATAATTTGGTAGACTCATATTACAGCTGCGCCAACTCCAAGCCTTCCAATAAGGCAACACCACAAAAGGGGAGCAGTAAGTGTTTTGACACCAAAGAACCTAAAGAAGGGAGGAGATTCACACAAAGGTAAAAGAGGAATACAAAGGAGAACACAAAGGATCGCGACAGTCTCTCTCGGCTCTCACTCGCTTCACTCTCCAAACCACATATATATATATATATAGGCTACAAGAAACCACATAAAGCCCCAAAATCAGGAACAAACTTACCTTGTTATTTGAAGAACAAATGACGCAGTACAGAATCAGACTTAAATAAAAAATAATACTAGTAGTATAATATTATTATTTTTTAATATCATTAATAATTATTAATTTTAATTATATAAAATTTAATACTAATATATTAAAGAATTTAATTTTAAATAATAAATATATTATTATTATTATAAATATTTTTCCCCTAAATCCCCACAACCGGCGCAGGGCACAGGGGACCAACCGATCACGTTTTTCTCTTTCTTCTTTTTTTTTTTTTTTTTCTCAATTATTTCCTTTTTCTTCTCCGTCTGAGCCTGGTCTTGTGACGGCCAAAATAAAAAGGAAAAAACAAAAAAAATGCCGAACCGCCGGTTGAAACCGTAAATTGGCGGCTCACGGTTTGGAAAAAGCTGAAACCGAAATGGAACCGTCCAAACCACGGTTTCGGTTTGAACCGTAGCCGCCGTTCGGAACCCGCGAACCGACGGTTTGGAACCGAATGGGCAAGTCTATCGCTCGAACAACACGATGGCAGTGAATACGATGCTCCACCAGTCCAGGCAGCCACTGACGAGAAGCAGCTGAATCAGATGAGTGCGGGTAAGCATGTGTTCCTCTGATAATCGGACTTAGATTGTACCTTTCGTGAGTATTGATTTGTTTTTGACAGTTTTAGAGGAAGACGATTGTTTTCATTATTGTTCGAGGGTTTCGTTTTGGATTTAGTGAATATAGATTCATTTTGGATGATTTCTCGGCATAACCGATTGATTTACGAGGCCAAAAAGCCCAAGGTTTTCGTAGACGAGCGAGACGTTGGATAAATGTTTTTGTCTGTTGTAATTGCTTCGATTGTTAGTTAATCGTAGCGATTTATAAATCTGACTTCTTGTGAGAAATTTGAAATTAGAACAATCCTTGGCTGATCGCTGGCTTATACTTATGGTTCCTATCATTATTGATGAGACGCTCTTTGGATAATCGATATAGTCTTTTGATATATCATCCAAAATTGTAGAGATTTCTGTGAAGAATTTGTGGCCTAGTGCGTGATTATTTGTGTTTTGGGTTGTTTTATTAAGGAAAAAAAAACTATAAATTGTCTAGTGCAAAAACATGATCGAAAACACGAAAACATAAACATATACACCCCTAGCAAATGCATTCTCAGTTGCTTTATCTTGCTTTTGAATTTGCACAGGGGGAGCATTTGGGGGAAACAGAGGGGCGAGACCGGTGCCACCCGAAAAAGGAGTTTTCCCTTTGGACCATATGCATCAGTGTGACCTGGTGGAATTACATTAATCAGATCTTCACCTTTTTTTTTTTTAGCATGCCTTAGATAACATAGTGAAACTTAAACTATTTGGTGTTGTTGGTTTTCGCAATTTGCAGGAGAAGAAGGATTACATTAACTGTCTAAAGTCTACAGGCCATAAATCCGAGAAGTGCAGACAGTTCTCAAAGAAATACCTGGAATGTAGAATGGATAAGTAAGTGCCTCAACCTGTCCATTAGTCTTGCTCCTCATTTTGTTTTCATGTTCGAAATTAGAATCTTATGTGTTTTCTTGTTCTTGATTGATCGGCGGAAATCTGTGGGTCCAAGTTTTCCAATTATTGATAATTAATGTAATTGAGGTTTATTATTAAGGTTTTGAAGGAAATCAGGCTTAGTTTAGAGCTTCAAACTGATTGGCTTGAATATGACCTAGCATTGTATTTGCATTGTGCAGGAACTTGATGGCAAAACAAGACATGGCAGAACTAGGGTTTAGAAATGAAGAGACATCATAAGCTTCTAATAATTGTGGAGGATTGATTTGGTTATGACTTTTTGAAATTAGGCATTTGTTGTATGATCCGTTCGAGAAACATTTTGACCTGTTTTCTCAATAAAAAGTTGGTTTCAAGGGCACATAGAAGAGTGTAGAAGGATAGTTTTGTTGATGTTTAGTATATATATCTAATACTTATAAATACGTTAGAGTACGGATGGCTACCTGAAAATACTATTCTACTCTTCTCTCTTCTTCCTAACCCTAGCTTGATCCATCTTATTGTCTACTCGTTCTTCGACTACGAGTGCAGCTGGGAGTGCGTCGTCGCTTCCAGATCGCCGATTTCTAGCAATGTTGTTATTTCCTTCTCAGTGCACTTTGAAGGTAGTTTATCATATTTTCTGCAATAATTTATGTTTTGCATTTTTTTTTTTACATCGGTTGCTAAAGCATGTTAATTGCACGATTTCTTTCTTTATCCTTGCTGGTTGGAAGATAGTTTTTCATGGTTTTTTTTTTTTTTGCAATGACTTATATTTTTGGTGTTCCGTTGAAATAACATTGTTCTATTTTGGGTGTTCTGTTGAAATAGGATTTCTTTTGTTCAGTTAATTGCTTCTTTAGATCTGAACAAATTGGAATAAATGATAAATCTACTTTCCACTAATTAGCCAGTGGTCTGCATTTACTTGATGATGGCAATCTTGGCATGTTTATTGGATAAATGGCTTTTGGGCTCAAAGAAACCCTTTTCTTTGTGCAAAGTTAAAGTAGTTAGTGATTTACTGAATTCCAAAACAAAGGCATACTTTAAAGCTGAAGCTAGGTCTTGAAAGAATTTTATGTCGCTGCATAAATCCTCTCTGACCTTCTACTTCTGTTCCCACTCACAGTGGTATCAATCCGCTGATACCTATTTGTTAGTTGTGTAGGGGTCTTTCGTACATTGATGCCAGCCATCCATTAAGTTATTTGTTTTTGAAGCATGCCTTTCCAAAAATTGATGAACATCTTAGGAAGTAGCATTGTGTCTATTACAACTTTACTAAGGAAAAAAATATATGAGAATGCAACTTTTCTGTCTCTATATGCTGACAAGAACTGATCTCTCTCTTGATATGTTTCATACTTCTAAAATCCCTGTGATGGCTATAAACGGAAGAAATTATTTACTTGATGTATGATTATTCTTGTAGATGTTATTTCCCTGACAAATGAAATTATTTTTGATGTACATGTAGGTTATGGTAATTAATTAGATGTTCTAGATTGGTTAGTCTCTAACCCAAATTGATGCATGTTTCCAAGTTTAGTTATTGTTCATGGAAGTTTAGTGTTTGGAAGAGGGGGAATAACGTGGTGTTGTACACATAGATGAGCATTTAGCTTTCAGTGCTACTAAAGGTATTCAAACCATGATATATAGTCAAATTTCTTGAAAGTATTGGGGGTGAATTTGGTGCCTGCCAAAATGTTGTTACATCCACTGATGGAACTGTTTTGTTCCTGTTGACAAATCCGAACTTTTATCTCAGGCCACTTTTGTATTGGCAGAGTTCAGCTCTGAGGTATGTGTTTATTATTTATATGTTGAAACATACATGTGTCTATTATTTCCCTGAGAATTCAGTGTTGATTGTTGATACTCTAGAGTGTTCTAATTTGGCTATGTATGTTCTCTAGTCTTTACATACTTGTAATCTCTCTCTTTGTTTTCTTTCTTTTTTCTTTTTTTTTTTCTTTTTTTTTTCTTTTTTTGGTTTTGTTTTTGAACCTCTACATAAATTGGACTTTCTGGTTATAAAAATTTAGTTTGATAGCATAAATGATTTGGCTTTTCATTTTAGTTCCCCATTTGAATGGTTTTGATTTGACTGCAATGCTTGCACAACTCATTCTTAAATCATGGTTTCTGTGGTCGCCTTTGGAATTGGATTTTTATTAGAAACTTACACCTTTATACAAGAACTGGTGTTTTGTGTCTTTAGTTTTGTTGGTTTTGAGTTAATAAATAAACATTGGATATGTTTAATATAGAAAATAAATATTTGATTTAATACATTATTTTTTAAAAGAGAAATATGTTGAATGGTAAAAAGATTGGAATAGAATTTACATAAGAACACATTTAAAGAATATGTATATACCATCATCCTTCATTTGAAATCTACTTGATGCATCCCTCATTATCTATAAACTTTCTTTACACTCCTTAATTAATTAACAACAATGGATGTGTTTAATTGTCTTTTGAATTACAAGTTCTTTGGGTGTTTTTTCATTTTTTATTTTTATTTTGATGACGTGGTAATGCTTTGGGTGTTTTTTTGCTTTATTTATGGCGGTCAACAGGTGCTGTTGCAAAAAGGATTTTTAAAAATTTTAAGTGTAAAAATTTTATTATTATTTATTTTTCAAATGAACAATTGTATTATTATAAAAAAAATACATAAATAAATATTTATAATATATTGCTGCTGATGTTACAATAGTTTATTATTTTACAATGTTTTCAAAACATAACAATTAGAAGAATAAATTTGTCCAATAACAAATAAACATATATTCCATGAAAGTTTTTTAATGAAATATTTCAATGATTGAATCTTAAATTTTGAAGGGCAAATATATCTCTACACTCGCATATTACATGGTGAAAAAACATCAAATATAAGAAAGAGGGAAAAAAAAAAAAAAAAAAAAAAAAAAAATCGGAAATCCAAAACAAAATGGATAGAGGTGTTTTTCCGACAGTTCAAAATTTCAGCCCTTAAACCCTTCAAATAGCAATAATGCCCCAACTAGCAACCTTCCGCCTCCGCCTTCTCCTCTCCTCCGCCAATCATCACCACCGCCACTCTGCCGCCGCTCTATCCTTCCCTAAAGCCCGTTCCTCGTCCACTTCTCTTCCGCTGCTGCATAAGCCCCATTGCAGAAGTTACAGATCGCCTCTCCTCTTAGCGAATTTCTCCTCATTACCCAGAAAACCCTACCGCACTGATAAGAGGAATTCGCGCACGTTCGATAGAAAAGGTAGTACGTTGAGGGAGAGTTTGGATAAGAAAGGTAGTAATAGCGATAAAGGTGGACTCCTGGCGATGGAAGAAACGGAGGGAAGTCGGAAAGCTGCGCCGGAGGGTTTAGGGTTTAACAGAAAGAGGGCTGAGGGTAGAGACGAGAGTGATAGACCCAAAAAGAATCTGCAGGTCAAGGTTCGGAAGCTCAATCCTGCTAATACCATTTCCTACGTTCAGGTAACTTTTTCATTTGCTTCTTCGTTATACTGTTTTCGACTTTGAAAAACATTTAAATGTGAAATGAGTTCTGAATTTGATGTTTAGATGTAGAATAAGTGTTGGAGTTATATTTGGAATGGAAATGAAGTTTTGAATTTGATGTTTTATGCTTAGCAATCATTATATTTTCACTTCCTTTTTGCTTAATTTTTCACTGATTTTGATTTTTTATGCTTAGCTATCATTAGATATTCATTTTTATTTTTTTTGAATTGGATTTTTTTGGATTTCACAGATTCTTGGAACTGGTATGGATACACAAGATACATCCCCATCAGTATTGCTATTTTTTGACAAGCAGAGATTTATATTTAATGCTGGAGAGGTGAGTGCACTCTGATTCGATTCGATTTTCGTTATCTAATCCATTCTGGCTCTAACAAACATTTGTGTTTTCAAAATTTGTTACTTATAAAATTTGGAAGAATAATGTCGATAAAGCCATGAACTTCTGATATTTGAGTGGTTTTAAACTTGTTTGGGCTGAATTATATTCGGAATTTTATTTCTAGGGACTTCAACGCTTCTGCAGTGAGCATAAAATCAAATTGTCGAAGGTATCTTACGGATAAAGATACATTTAGTTTCTGTTTGTTCGTTCATTTCTTTTATTCCTTATTTTCCGTGTGAAACTTTCCAGATTGATCACATATTTCTTTCGCGTGTCTGCTCTGAGACTGCCGGTGGACTTCCAGGTGTGCAATTAAGATTCAATCTTTTTTCGATTCATGGGATTGCAATATTTGTTTTTGTTCCTAGTCTTAGAATCTTGATGCTTTTCTTTTTGTTTTTTTACTTCAGGCCTTTTATTGACTTTGGCTGGTATGGGCGACGAAGGAATGTCTGTAAGTGTGACTTGAATTTGTATACTCAGCAATTATGTTATCGAATAATAGCCTAACTCTTTATTTTTTCTGAAGGTCAATGTATGGGGTCCGTCAGATTTAAAATATTTAGTCGATGCCATGAAATATTTCATCCCTAATGCTGCAATGGTTCACGCCCGTAGCTTTGGGCCAATGCCCAATTCCAACGGATCTTCTATCAGCTGTACAGGGAAGTTCGACGATCATTTGGTTCTTATTGATGATGAAGTTGTGAAAATATCAGCTGTACTCTTGAAACCAAATTACAGCGGAGCTTCTAACGTAGCAGCTGAAAAATGCCGTGGATCAAATTCTCCCGAATCTGATGTTAATGCTACTAAGCCTGGCGATCTTTCGGTTGTTTACGTTTGTGAATTGCCTGAGATTAAGGGGAAATTCGACCCCCAAAAAGCTGCTGCACTCGGATTGAGACCGGGACCAAAATATCGTGAATTGCAATTGGGAAATTCTGTTAAGTCGGATCGTGATGATACCATGGTAGATTGCTCGTGATTAACCCTTTTTTTTTATTTCTATAAGAGATATCAAATTGTCGATGCTAAGAAGCTTTTTCGTATTTAAATCTTGTGTCTGACCCCTTTCAGGTACACCCGAGTGACGTACTGGGCCCTTCCATTCCTGGTCCTATTGTACTGCTAGTCGATTGCCCGACAACTTTGCATTTGCAGGAGTTATTGTCTTTGCAATGCCTTTCACCTTACTACATAGGTTCGGAATCCGATGTTCCAGAAGGTTCCAAACTTGTTAATTGCGTGATTCATCTAACTCCAGCGACTGTCACGACAACGGATGATTACCAAAAGTGGATGTCGAAATTTGGAACTGCTCAGCATATTATGGCAGGGCATGAAATGTCGGTTTCTCATTCTTTGCCTTTTCGATCTTGTTTTTTTTTCCTTTCGAGCTGATGGATCTTTTCATTCCAGGAAAAATATTGAGATTCCGATTCTAAAATCGAGTGCTAGAATCTCAGCGCGCCTCAACTATCTGTGCCCTCAATTTTTCCCATCCCCCGGCTTTTGGTCTCTACAGTCAGTTGCAAAAAATCCTAACCAAGTATGTTTTAATATTTTTTTACGATATTGTGTTTAGTTTTTGAGTTTGTACTGATTATTTTTGCTTCTACTGTCTTGTTAGGATCTCTTGGCAAGGCCCGATCGAGTGATTCCAGCAGAGAATCTTCTCAAGGTATAAAGAAATGTTTGTTTAGATTGCAACATTTATGCTGGAATTTAGAAACATCTTGGCTATTTACACAATCTGTCACTTCTGTTTTGTCGAGTAGTTCCATCTTCGCCCCTACGCAAATCTTGGATTCGACAAATCGGGTATACCAAAAGCATCATCTACTTCCGAAATCATTGAAGAGCTATTTTCCGAGATTCCAGAGGTTGAAAATGCTTCTAAACTTGTCAACCAATTCTGGCAGAACAGCCGCGGGAATAACGAAGAAAATATATATACGGATGCTAACGATATTCTAACCGAAGAGCCGTGGTTGGATGACAGAACCCTTCCGAGCTGTCTCGAAAACATAACTAGAGATGACATGGAGATTGTTCTTCTCGGCACCGGTTCTTCGCAGCCCTCGAAATACCGAAACGTCAGTTCGATTTTCATCAATTTATTCTCTAGAGGAGGTTTACTATTAGACTGCGGCGAAGGAACCTTAGGACAGCTAAAAAGAAGGTAAAAAAAAATCGATCTAAATCTTGTTCCTTTCTTCTAAATGTTCGACTCTTACAATAACATTTCGACTACAGATTTGGCGTCCAAGGCGCTGACGAAGCTGTAAAAGGATTAAGATGTATATGGATTTCACATATCCACGCCGATCATCACGCCGGTTTGGGAAGAATACTCACTCTGAGACAGGATTTATTGAAGGGAACGCCGCACGAACCTATCGTAGTCGTCGGCCCACGGCAGCTCAAGAGGTTTCTCAACGCCTACCAGAGGCTCGAGGATTTAGATATGCTCTTTCTTGACTGTTACCACACCACAGAAGCTTCGCTCGAGGCGTTTGAATCTTACGAAAGTGACGAAAATGGAAATGCAGGTGAGAATGACGACGCAACATTGTTTTCCCGAGGAAGCCGCATGGAAAGCTTTTGGAAACGCCCGGGCAGCCCTACGCAGATTTCTGCCGTCCTTCCTATCGTAAAATCTTTGAAGAAAATTCTCGGCGAAGCCGGTTTGGACGCACTTGTAAGTTTCCCGGTCGTGCATTGCCCGCAAGCGTACGGAATTGCGCTGCAAGCGGCGAATAGGACAAATGGAGCGGGGAAAATTATTCCCGGGTGGAAAATTGTGTACTCGGGCGACACCCGTCCTTGTGTAGAACTCGTCAGAGCTTCTCGAGGCGCGACGATTCTTATCCACGAGGCAAGTTAGAGGAAATCTTGCGATAATCTGGAGATCTTTTTTTTCTTGATTGAAATGTAGTTTAATGATGATTTTGCAGGCGACGTTCGAAGATAGCATGGTGGAGGAGGCGATTGCGCGGAACCATAGCACGACGAAGGAGGCTGTGGAAGTCGGGGATTCTGCGGGGGCATATCGAATAATTTTAACTCATTTCAGCCAGAGGTACCCGAAGATTCCGGTATTTGATGAAGGACATATGCATAAAACTTGCATTGCTTTCGATTTGATGAGCGTGAATATAGCAGATGTGCATTTGCTCCCTAAAGTGTTGCCATTTCTTAAAGTCCTGTTTAGAGATGACATGGTTGTCGATGAATCTGAGGATGCCAATTTGAATGCTGCTGCTGCTCTGTAATTCTTTTTTTCTTTTTTGTCGAGGGTGACACATCCATTTGCTTATTTATTGTTGCCTTTTTAGAGGTTTTCATTAAGCTGGTAAAAGTTGACACGAAACAACAATTCAACAAAAAATTGATATAATAAGACAATTCAATACGAAATAATTAGTTTGGGGCAAAGATTTTAATTCGATTATGTATACGAGTTGACACAAATTGATGCAATAATAAACAGATCAAAACAGTATATATATATTGTTGGGACTGGTTCAACTCAACACTAGTATAATATTGTCTGTTTTAAAGCCCGCACGGATTTGTTTTTGGATATTCTCCAAAAGCTCTCATACTAGTGGAGTTTACTCGGGACTTATAAGGTGTGTAATTTTTTTCATCACTTCCAATATAGGACTTGGGTTGGCACCCCAACAATTAGTGTGACCTTGATTTATATATATATATATTTTATATAAATGTCATTATAGCTAGTATTACAAGATAATAATATAAGTATTTTTGTATTTTTCCCTTGATTTAATAAATATATAAAAAGTAAATGTAACATTTAGAGTCGAACGGATGAAAATATTTATTATATACTTAAAATAAGTATAATTTAATAATTAGCTTATATATTTAAGCAAACAATTACTATATATACAAATAAAAAACAAATCTTTAACATAACAAGAAGCTGGAATAGCTCAGTTGGTTAGAGCGTGTGGCTGTTAACCACAAGGTCGGAGGTTCAAGCCCTCCTTCTAGCGAATTCTCTATTTTATTTTTTGCAATTCTTTCCTTGTTCTTTTCACCTATATGTTTGGTTCGTTTGTTCTACCTTCTCTTCACAGTTAACATTAAAAGGAGATCCCAATGAGGAATACCGTTCATCATATCAAACAAATGGGACCATTCTGTTTCTGCCAAATTTCAAAAAAGCATAAAACCAGACCCTTCAAAGCACATGCAATTTCAGACAAAAGAAGCACAATAATTCTTCCCCTTAAATTATTACAGATGCAAACAAGGAAATTACCTTAGCACTGATGATCCAAAGGGATTTCAAACAACCAGAAATTTAAACTTACAGAAAAACAAGATCAAGAAAGGAAGAAAGAAACAAAGGATACAATCAAATCAAATCCTGAAATGAACTGAACTGAAATTAAAATTCAGATGCCAATGGCTGATGCTCATGCTGCATGTACACGTTGCTGTAGACGACCCCGGCCAGCCCCCCTCCCACGAGTGGGCCCACCCAGTATATCCATATATCCGTAAAGTCGCCGCTGGCCACCGCCGGTCCGGTCGACCGGGCCGGGTTCATCGACCCGCCGGAAAATGGCCCCGCCGCCAGAATGTTGGCCCCAACTATGAACCCTATGGCGATCGGAGCTATCACTCCCAACGAACCCTTCTTCGGATCGGCGGCGGTTGCGTACACCGTGTAAACCAGTGCGAACGTTATGATGATCTCCATCACCACGCCTTCGACGGCGCCGACGCCGGCGCCGAGGCCGTGGGTTGGGATTGTCTGCGAGGAAGAAGAAGATAAAAAAACCGATTTGAGGCATAGTCGTGGTTTGTGAAAATGCGATTTTTGGAAAAGCGTGTTGGGGAGGGGTATATAATTAGGTTTGTTTAATTCGTTTTACCAGGCCGCCTGTAACGACTTTGAGGAGGAAGGAGGCGACGATGGAGCCGAGCAGTTGAGCGATCCAGTAGAAGATTCCGGTGAGGATCGTAATTTGGCCTCCGACGGCGAGACCGAACGTCACGGCGGGGTTCACGTGTCCGCCGGAGATGTTCGCACCGACGGCGACGGCTACGAACAGCGCCAGTGCGTGGCACACTCCGATCGCCACCAGCCCCGGCGGATCGAGCGCGGCGTCCGACGTCAATTTGTCTGCCGGAATTCAACAGTAATCGCCGGAGGAAATCAATTACATGTCAGAAATCCAGATTAATTTGATTTACTTCGCAATGCTTTAATTTCATTATCAGCTAGGGTTAATCAAATCAAAATAGAAATAGTCCTCAATTTTCTCTGAAATTAATAAATCAATTAAAGCGATAGAAGTAGTAGTTAGTAGCGAGCTACTTACTGTAAGCAATGGCGGAGCCGACGCCGGCGAAGACGAAGAGCAAAGTGGAGATGAACTCGGCGATGTAGGCCTTCACCGAGGAGAAGCTGAAGGAGTCATCGAACCGTCCAAAAGCAATTCCGGGCATTTTGATCGACGGTCACAAAAATTGCTTGATTAATTAATTAATTCTAATTAAAATATATTATTAATTAAAGCAGATTTGGAGACACAGAAATGTCCTATCCATCACACATATATATATATATATATATATACTCGCAAAGCTGAATAGTTTTTCAGGATGGCAGGGTTTACTTTTATTACTTTATGATTATTTTTATTAATAAAATTAATTGCATTATACAATTGGAGCGGATATGTTAAACAACTGTAATAACACGTACCCAAATGCAACCACATATAAATAACATAAAATTTTTATTAAAACTCCGTAAAGAATAATTATTGAAATACTCCCATCCTTCAGCTACAAAGTATACATATTTTTATTTTAAGTATACATATTTTTATTTTAAGACGTTCAATTACAAAATAAGTATTTCAACCCTATTTTTTTCCACAATTACAAAATAAGTATTTCAACCCTATTTTTTTCCACAAATACTCTTATTTTACATCACATCATTACTTTTATACCAAAAAATAAGGACAAAAATATCGTTATACTACTTTTATCTGCCCACTATAATTAAATTACTATTATTTTTTAAACTCTGCTCCAAAAATAAATATATATTTTATCCGTGGACGAAGGGAGTACTATTTTTCTTCTTTCACCTATACTAACAATAAAGTCACGGTATCATCACTGTCACAGTTCCTCTATCCTAGTATTAGAAATTATTGAAATATTATTTTAAATTGAATATTTGATTTTTTTTACTTTTATAAATAAATATTTAAAGTTTTTGTTTTTATTTTTTATTTTTTTTTATTTTTGTAATAAAATTTGAATTTCTTTCCTTTGATTTTTATAAAAGGTATTGTGTTCTTTATTATTATTTTTTAAAAATTATAATACAAAAATAATATTCAAAGAATAGAGTCATGGTTTTAATTGTATACGGTAGTAGTAAATATCTGTTTTTTATTATTTTTATTTTTTTATAATTTAAAAATTCGCAGTCGCTACTTAACGAGTGCGTTCCAGATAAACACTCAGTCGAATCTAATAGTCTGTAACGGAGGCTGACAAGACAAGTTCATCCTAAGTCAACCATGTATAATAAGCAAAACTTAAAAGCTTTGGAATTTGAATTTTGAATAATGAAATTTTAGTTTAACTTTTTTTTTTGTAAAAATAACTATTAATGTAATATTTTAAATATAAAATATATTTAGTATAATACATAAATTTAAATAAGAAAAAAAAAATCTATTTCCCCAATTCATCTACTTTCCCGTTCCACATAATTTGTTTCTATTCGTCTCACATAACTTGTCATTTTTATTTTTGAAAATATAATTATGCATTTTAATCGCATTTTAAATTTTAAATTTTATAATTTTCTTAATTTTAATTAAACTATTTACTTATTTTAATCTTAATCTATAATTATTTTTACTAATACACTTCTTAATTACTTACTAATTATACTTTACCTAAATTCTCGTGTCTACGGTAATACACCCATATTACATGGGACGGAGGGAGTAATATTTTTACCATTTTCTCTCTTATTTTAAAACTCTTCTATCAACTATGATAAGTGTAATTATATCCAAATATTAAAATATATTTAACCTTTTGTATTTTTAAGAACTAAAATATCAAAAATTATTTATATATTTTCACTAACTAATAAAATATTATTCCCTCGTCTCACCTACCGTGTACATATTGTCATTTTTGTTCGTCCGATATCTCATGTCACTTTAGTTTTTTGCAAAATAGTTACACACCGATAATCTCATTTTAAAATTTTTAATTTATAAATTTTTAAATTTAATTAAAGTAATTAGTTACTTTAATCTTACTCAATAGTATAATTATTTTGACTAATACATTCTTAATTATATATTAATTATACTCATCTTAAATTCTCGTACCTATCGTAACTCGGATATATAATGTGGGACGGATAGAATATTATTTTTAATTCACTAAATAAAAATAATAAAAAATAGGTTGAATTAAGATAGAAAAAGTATGTTTTATTTAATTCTTTTACAGAATTATTTTTTGATAAATAATAAAAAAATCCATAAGAATATCTCCAAACAAATGCTACTCCCTCCGTCCCACATAATTTGTTCTTATTTTTTATTTTCGTCCGTCCCACGTAACTTGTCATTTCTATTTTTGGAAATATAATTATGCATTTTAATCACATTTTAAATTTTATAATTTTCTTAATTTTAATTAAACTAATTACTTATCTTAATCTTAATCTATAATTATTTTTACTAATACACTTCTTAATTACTTACTAATTATACTTTATCTAAATTCCTATTCCTGTGTCTACGGTAGTACGCCCATATTATATGGGACGGAGGGAGTATAACTTATTATTTATAGTATAAAAATATATTTATTGCGTCCACTTAAGTAAATATTTACTTCTACTGTGCATTTGAATAAATATTACTATATTTTAATGATAATTTGTTATAGTTTTATATGTAAAAATTATTTTACTTTTAAATATTGTAAAATTATTTTGAGAGTGTAGATGTAAATAAAGATAAAAGTGATATATTTTTAATGTTTGGTGGGTCTACAGCTACTTTCAGAAAAGAGTTTTGTATTCGTCTGCACAATGAATATTCACTTATTTGATACTATTTATTTTTATAAATTTTATATCAAATATATTTTTTTTCTCACACAAATAAAATAAAATATTAATTTTACTTTTCTGTTTTTTTTTTTCTCATATTTTTAAAACTTCAAAACTTGTAGGGTTATAGTAGCTGGAAAGTTCGAAAGTCTTCGTCCTCATTACTGCCAAAAACGTAAACAAGATAATGATAATTATTGGTTATGTTATACTTTTATAGAATTTTGACAATGATTAATGTTTTAATTAATTAAATTAATAGTGCTTTAGAGTAGCAATCTAAATTTGTTGGGGGTACATTTTGAAATGATAAGATTTTAAATTGAAATAATTATTTAATATTACATAAATAAGTAAATATTTAATATATTTTGAATGAAAAGAAAAACAAATATTAAATATAAAATAAATATAAAAAAATATTATTTATTCTTTTTAAATAATACAAGTTTGATTTTGAATCCAAATAAAAAATATAGTTTAGTATAGTTCATATTGTATATATTTTCTACTTATAAAATATTCGTTCTTCAATAAATTATTCATGTTTTTATTTTTATCCAATATTTATTTTTATTTTTATTTTTAGTAATTGTACTATCTACCTAACATTAAAAATATCGTTACAATTTATAATATATTACACTTATTTCACACAATACTGATAAGGTTATTTGAGTTATTTTTATTTTATTTTTATTATATTATAATATAATATTAATATTTTTAAAACTCAATGCAAATATATATATATATATATATGAAATGGAGAAAGTATAAAAATTAAATTTTATTCAAGCGTTAAATTTAAAACATTCAAAAAACAAACAAAAGCAAACGCATAGTTAATAATTAAAATTCCAGGCTGTCAATTGATAAAAACTGCTTCGGTGGAACTGTCTGGAAGGTCTCGCACTTGCTGTAGCGGGTCCACATGAGCCGACCAATTGGATTAGAGTACAGGTTAGTGCGGCTGTAGGTCCCACTAAAATAATCATATAATATTTTCAAAAGAGTAAGATGATTGGATGACCGGCCGGGCCATGAATATGACTCCTGTGCGGACCGGCCTAGTGCGCCGACCATCCTTAATCAAATCATTGGATTTGGTGGCTTTGTCGGAATTTTTTTCATTGTTAATGTATCTTCATATTTATTTTGTTCTCTTTATTTTGAAAATTTATTTTAGATTAAAATATTTCGAAATTAACATAAATGTCTATTTATTTTTATACACATTTTTTAAAACATAATGGTTCGTTCTTTTGGTGAATTTTATTTTATTTTTATCATTTATATAAAAAAAACTTTAAAAATATCATATTAAATATCACTACAAAAAAAAAAATAGTATATTTGTAACGGAATTTCGTTCCTAAAGTTCACGTAGCTAACGTAATTTTATCTCTAATTTCGTCTCTAATATCATTAGTAACGGAAAAAGTGAATTTATGAACGAAAAAACATCGTTACAAAATTGATATTTTCTTGTAGTGTATTAATTTTATTTCTATATTATACTAAAATAATTTTATATTCAAAATATTATATCAATTTTTATTCTTACCGTATTAAATAACTATTCAAACTAAAATTTAAAATTTAAATGGTCAAACAAATGCATGAAGATATTCTAAATGAAAATTAATGATAAAATTATCAACAAACTACTTAAGAAGTTGCATTGGAAAAAAAAAAAAAAAAACTAGCAATCAATTTGGATTAAGGAGCATAATTCAAAATAATTTGTTTAAAAATGATAATATCTTTTATATATATTTGTTAAAAAAATATTGAATAAATAAAAATTACGGGTGTGATTTTTTTTTAAAAAAATTTAAATATAATATTTTATGAAAAGATAATACTTCTATCTAGTTCATAAGTATTATATATATATATGTGGGGTTTATTTGTTTTATTGTTTTGATTTGAAAATTTTTTTATTTATTAATATAAAAATAACAAGTGTATTTAATATATTATTATTTTTTAAAAGAATGAGAATTTTTCACAAAACATGAGAATAATAATATTTAAATAGTAATTAGTGATATTTTTTTTTATGTGTAACAAATATTGTGCTATTATATTTTAATTTGATATAATTATATTGATAAATATAAGTTTATAAATATTTATAATATATATTATCATTAAATCTACTGAATTTATTTATATATATATATATTATATTTGAACAAATAAAAATGCGTATTTACCTATCAACCGAATAAAAAGACATACTTTTATATATATATATATATATATACATATAAAACTATAAAATATAAAATATAGTAATATATATGTCTGTGAATAGCCTTTGAGTGGACTTATCCATTATATTAATTTTCATAGTGGTATAGGTCATTCTATGCAATTTTTAAATTAAGGTTGTAATGGTTGATGATTTGAAGGAATCTTTATTTTATTTATTTTGGGTTATGAAAAAGGTTGAAACTATAAAATATTTCTAAATAAAAACATAAGGGTTTTTGCTTTTGGTGGCATTTGTTTGTGAGAGGAACATTTTTGACAGTTGAATGTGTTCTTCTAAATTTGATTTTATTTTGAGTTTACTAATAATAATTTAGATATAATGTTTTTATAAAATAAAAAATAAAATAAAATTGTACTCTCCGTCTGGTCGATTTCTTTTTTTTTTTTTTGTCCCACAAAAAATGACATGTTTTTTTATTTTTAGTAAATTTATTCATTTTAAACATATTCAATACATATAAATCAATTTAATTAAATTTATAACATATCTTAACTCACTCAAAACCTATTTATTTTCATGTTTCTTCAATAAACAAATATTTTTATTTATATTTACATTTTTTGTAAAATTAGTTATAAATTAATTATAAATGAATAAATATTTTTTTATTTATTTGTATTATATGCATATTACATATATTTTATTAAAATATAGTGTTAAACATATTTAAAATATCAACAACAGTAATTATATAAAAATAATAAAATAATATCATAACTTATTATTAATAATTTATTAATTTATATTACCTAAAATACTATGTTCCTAACCAAATTGATCATCTAATAAGGAAATATAAAGTATCGAGATGATTTAATAGTAAAAAATAACAATAAATAAATAAAATCATTTTTTATAAAAAAAAAACCCTCATCATCATGCTAAAATAATGCTCTTTATATTATAATTTTTCAATTATTTTTTTTCTTTCATAAATAATAAGCATATTTATAGCAAAAGAATTATATTAATACTCTCTCCGTCCAGTTAGAAAGTATACATATTTCTATTTTGGGACATCCAATTACAAAGTAAACATTTCATTAAATATCTTACTTTTTTCCATAAATACCTTTACTTTACATCACATCATTACTTTTACACCAAGGGCAAAAATGTCATTATATTACTTTTAAGTATCCACTATAATTAAAATATTATTATTTTTTAAACATCGTGCCAAAAGTAATTGTATACTTTATGAGTGGAGGGAGGGAGTATTATTATTATTGTTATTTTAAGTTTTTTACCGTATAAAGAAAAAAAAATGGAGTATTATTATTATTATTATTATTATTATTATTATTATTGTTATTTTAAGTTTTTTACCGTATAAAGAAAAAAAAAACATATATATATCTTGTTGAGAAGAAGGGAAAGAAAAGAAAAAAAAATATTCATAAAAAAAAATGTTAAATAAATATATATGTTGTTTAACATGAGATTCTTTGGTGTTATATTAGTATTCTTTTGTCTAATTATAAGAATATAAAAAATTATCTAATTAATTAAAAATTAAAATTGTACTAAATATTGATTTGGTTTTTATATAATTAATTCATTTTTTGGGGGGGGGAACTATTTAAGTGTATTTTAAATTACATTGTGGCATTATTTATCATTTTTTTTTTCACATAAATATAAAATAAAAACATTATATACAATAGAAAAAAATAGAAAAACATGTTTAATAAAAAAAAAATCGAAATCATTCTTCAAGCTAACATACAAAATCAAACCTTAAGCAAATAGCTTCAAAATCATTCCACTTTAGTTTTTACCTATAAATTTTAAAATTAAAATATTATTATTTTTTAATTTTTATGTCCAATTTAAACCTATATAATTTACAGGATGGAAGGAATACTATTTTATGTTTGAGTATTTGATTGTCTTTTCTACACTCTATTTTTTTTATTATATCATTTACATTAATTTATTTTTTATCCTAAAGATATTTTTTAACTCAAATTATTATTTTTATTTGTCTCATTCAAAAATATATATTTTTAATATAATAAAAGTTTTTTATATACAAATATCAAAATATTTCTACTTTTACACAAATTATAAAAATATTATTACTTTATTTATACTTTATAAGAGCAAAAATATCAAATCATCTCACGCAATTATACTAATCAATAACATATGTTTGTTCATGGAGTTTTGAATTGAACTTTATTATTCTATTTTTTTTTCAAAAATATTAAATTAGATACTTGATTATTTATTTATTATATTATATTAAAATTTAATTTAATTTTTAAAATTTCGTATCAAATAATTATTTCAATTAATTTTTTTTATTACTATTTAAAACTTAAATTCAAAATCAAAATGGAAACCCAACCTAAAAATGCATCAAATTGAATCAAACAGACCAAAATTTGTCTTCACTAGGCCCAAGCCAATTGGCCAAGCCCAAATAATAATAGTGTTCACTATATCCCTAATGTCTAGAGTTATTATTCTAAGTTAGGTCAATACTATTTAATTTTTAACTTAAGTATATGACTTAACTTTAATTTGTAAGAAAATGTAATGTTGTACAAAACTAACTCGAATTGCATATAGAGTAGTGTGAATTTAATATATATATATATCAGGGCCGTTTCGGATTTTTTTTTAGGCTGTGAGCGAAAATAAATTATAGGTCCTACAAATACATGATTAAAATGTATTTTTAATAATATTACTGATTGACGTTGATTGGACAAGAGGTTGAACGTAACCGCTTGACAATGTCAATTTGAGAAAAAAACAGATGAAAGAGAGTCTGAAAGTTCAAAAAGCAAAAAGGATTGAACGAGGGTAAAAGATACAAGAGAAAATGTAAGACAGGTTTGATCGAGTTGTTGGGACAATACGATAGGATGTAAAGTAAAGAAGTGTAGACGATTAGAAAAAAATATAAAATATATATGATTATAAATTAAAATTTAATTTTAAAATTAAATAGAATAATTATGAAGAAAAAAATATAAATTAAAACTTAACGTTTAATTTTAAAATTTAATAATACTAATAATAATAATAATAATAATATTTAAAATATAACCCTCTATTAATTAGGGCTTGTTCAACCTACTCCATGAGCGAGCCGTCCCTGTTTTAAAGATAATTTCCTCCAAAATTTAATATATTTTTATTTAAAATTCAGTCTTGTCCGACAAATATTACATATAAATTTATAATTGAATTGAATTATCTAAAAACATATACAATGGTAACATATTACATATAAATTTATAATTGAATTGAATTATTTAAAAGAATATACAATGGTAACATACATACGACCTTCTGTCATAGTTCAATTTTTATTTCTATATATATATTTTTTTCATTTTCATCATAGTCCAGTAAAAGATACAATGACCTGATTTTGAAAGTAAAAAATAAAATAAAATAAAAAGGATAACTAGCGGATGAAAAGAGGTCTTCTTCAAGCAATGAGAGCATATGTAAGTCATTTGTATTTATTTATAGGTAAATTGCATAATATCCATTACATTTTAGTAATAATATATAAAACATCTCTTATTTATTATTTTTTTTAAAAAAAATTAAAATATGTATAAAAATATAAAATAGTATTTTTATTCAAAATTGATATTTAATTATAAATATACATTTAATTATATAAATTTTATACAAATAAAAAGAATATCAAATATCTTAAATAGTTTTATTATAAAAAAAATTACGGACGATGAAGAATCCAAATCAAATAATTGCAATAGTTACAATCGAATAATTCATAATTCTCACCCCTTCACTAAGTAATTGTAACCCCGAACAAATGCCGAAAAATTGTTCACCCAAATGTGGACCAAATAGAAAACCAAAACATGGACTCAAACGATATCAATATAGCACAATGAAATGCATATAAATTTATGAACCAAGAGAAGAATAAATAGTTCCAAAACATCCTTTTATAATATTTTTATCCAAAAAGGAATTAAAACTTCTTACAAAAAAAATAAAAAGTTGATTAAATCGATCGCAATTTGCATTATATAAAAGGTTAGAGATATAGTATTATGCCACAAGATTAGTTTCGGATCAAGAAAATCCACTTAGTCATACCCATAACTAAGGCTACCGACAGCTTCTAAACATTTTTCCATGAAAAAAATTTCGGCACAACTCCAACAATATTATTTATTAGATTGATTAAAAAAAAATTATAAAAAATAAATATATAATCGCGAAAAATACTACTATTATAAACATAATTCATATACTCTCTATCGACTACACTCATTCATCACCACATTCATGTTCACGTTAGCTCGAAATATTCTCGAGCATTCTGTACTGGCTCGCAGACATCTCCGGCGCCGCCGCTCCTCACCCGCCACACCTTGATCACCCCATCGAGGCCCCCTGTGCACACTGTGCACCCGTCCTCGGAACTATCCTCCAACGACGCCCGGCCTCGAAACGCCGCCACGCACCGCACCGGGCCCCGGTGCCCCTGAAGAACCGCAACGCACGTGTGGGCCCCACCCGCCTCCCTAACCCAAACCCGGCACGTGCAATCCGCCGACCCGCTAACCAAGTAGCTCGACACGCTCGCCGTGCACATGACCGCGTGCGTGTGCCCCGCCAGCGCGCCGCCGTACTGCAGCTGGCCGGAGAACCACCCCTTGAGCCAGTAGTGAACGTACCCGTCGGTGCAGCCGCCGTATAGGACGGCGCCGTCAGGGGTCAAAGATAGGGTTTTGACCGGGGAGTGTTTTGTTGGCAGCGTGACGGTTAGGGAGTGCGGCCACGCGCCGCCGCTGAAGGTCCGCCGCCACACCCGGACCGTGGCGTCGTCGGAGGCTGTGTAGAGCACCCCGTCGTCGCCGACGGCGATTGAATTGATCGGCTCCGGGTGGGCTTGGATTGTCTCGATGCATTTAGAGTCGGAAATTCGCCATACCTTGACGGTCTTGTCGAGGGATGACGAGTATAGTATGTTGTCCGATACGTTGATGGCTAGCGACGATATCGGAGCTAAGTGTTTCTGTAATATTAAAAATAATCGATGTAACGGTTAGTTGTCACGCTTATAAAATTTTATTGAAATAGTATTAATCAATAATGTTGTGTTTATTTGGGACTTTGGATTTTAAATTGAGATTTGAATAGTAAAATTTTTTAATTGAAATAGTGATATGATTGTGATATACATGCTTAATGATGCGATGTTTTAAATATAAAATTAATTTTTAGTATAATATAAAAAATAAAAAATAAGTATTTTGATTTGATATTTTTAGGATAAAAATTTAGTGAACAGTAGAAATTCAAAAAAATTCGCTAAACAAACACACCCTTAGATTGTATTCTTTTGTGAGTTGTACGACATATTTTTACTATTCAAAATATCAAATCAGTTTCTATTTATATTACATCAAATAACTATTTAATTTTAATTTTTTACTATTTAAAAATTCAAACCCAAAAACTAAAACCCACACAACAAACACATCCTAAGTATTTATGTATATAAAAAATAATCGATGTAACGGTTAATTATTATGTTTATAAAATTTTATTGAAATATAGTACTAATTAATTTATATATATAAATTTTTTTTATAAGAATATAGTACATGCAATTTGTGTGCTTAAAGTTTTGAACCTATGAATTAAAGGCGCGGTAACATAATGTGAAATTACTGTTTTATCCTTGCCGGGGATGTAACTTCGGACGAAGCTTCCGGCGGTGGGGAGGGTGGCGAGGCGCACGTGCTTGACGACGCCTTCCCACGTGCGGCGCCAAACCCTAATTTTACAGTCGGCGTAGGCGGCGTAAACTCTGTCGTTGGAGACCTGGAGGGCGACGGCAATGGCGGCCTTTGTCTTCAGCTGGCCGCACTCTGTGAACTCCGGAAGCTTCCAGACGCGCACGGTGTTGCTCTGCGATCCGGTGTAGACGAAGCCGTTGGCGGCGGCGATGCAGAGGATCTGGCCGTCCTTTTTCAGCACGGAGGAGATGCAGCGGCACGCGGCGGCGGAGGCGGAGGCGGAGGAGTCGAGCTTGGAGGTGTCGGGGGTGAAGCAGAGGCGGGGGGTGGGTGGGTGTGAGGAGTCGTTTTGGAGGGAGAAGGAGGGGGCGCCGGTGACGCTGAGGCGCGGCGGAAGGACGACGGCGTCGGTGAGCGGCGACTCCTTGGTGGAGACGCTGCGAGGGAACCTGATGGCGAAGGAGGGGTTCGGTTCGGGGCGGCCATCCTCCATGGATGACGCCATTGTTGTATTGGCAGAAGCTCGATCGAAGAAGAAGAAGAAGATTGATTTGGGGGAATGGAATTGAATTAGGGAATTAGGGTTTGTGAAATGAAGAAATTATATATAATAATAATAAATAAGGTAGTTGAAGAAGGAATGAATTTGAGCATGCATTTACAGTTGCAGTTGTGAATAATAATAATAATAATAATAATAATAATAATAAGAATAAGAGTGGTGCGTGCAGAGGAGACTGGGGCTGATTCATTAATTGCGGCATTGATGAACAGCACGCATCGCTACAGCCACTTTACGTACGTCCTTGTATCTACCTCTATCTATTCTATATATGCTTACGTACCTTTTTTTTTTAATTTTTTTATTTATTTTACCATTTCGGAATTTATTTATTTATTTTATCTGCGGGAGATCTCAACGATTACAATTGCAAGTCCAACCTAAAGCATGATAAGTAATTTCAAGAACTCTAAAATAAATAAGTTCATTGTTGACGCTTCTTAATTTTGTCTGACACATATGTCTAGTGTCTAGTGTGACTTTCCTTGGTGAATCTAATTTATAAACTATTAGGTTTGATTGGAAATTTATCAAAAGCGGAAAAAAAAAAAAAAAAAAAAGCTGAATTGTTTCGCCCATATAATATAATTAGGAACTAAAATTACTTATTACTTATTTAGAAGCTTAACACCTCTTATTTTTATTATTTTTTTAATTAATAAAATGAAAAACCAAAATGTGTGTTTTATTCAAATCCCAATTAAGACCGTTGAATATTGTCTTATATTGAAATTGATGTAGGGTTTTCTAAATTTTAAGGGTGAAGATCACTCTATCTATTACTAATTAGTTTTAGGTTAGAAGTCCGATTCTTTTTTAATATAGTATTAGAATTATGTTATCTCTAATTATGTATTAAATATTGTTATGTCCCACCGTTTAGAATATTTATATTAATATTTAGCTATTAATTAATTTAAGGCTAATTTATTTAATTAGTTCATACTATAATTTAAAATACGAACTTAAGAAATATTTCCCTTGGAGGCTTCGAGCATCTACAAAGAAAAACGGCATTGTGTCATTCATAAATGTCTTGACGCCAAAAAATTCAGAGAGAGTGGTCTTCCTCAAATAATTGAGCACGCAGCCTAATAATAATAATAATAATAATAATATTGTATTTCTTTGTTAGGTTTTTCAAATGTGTAATTTATGGGTGTGGCGTTATAGTTTTTTTTTTTAAAAAAAAAAAAAAGATAAAAAAGATAAAAAAAGATTGGAGGGAAAATAATTATTCAATATGATGTTGTATGTAAAAATTTGTTATTAATAGTAATAGTTTTTAGCAAAATATTAAAATATATATATATATCTCCCTGAGTATATTATTTTATCAATAACCAATGCATCTATTTATTCATTCATAGCCATCATTAATTGAAAATTGAAAATTCTTGAAATTTTATTACCAAGCAAATTTAAATATATATATTGTTAAAAATCATTGTATTCGTAGTTTCGCTACCTCCGTCCAATAAGGACATTATTTGTTTTTTATCATCATTGTACTTAATATTAAAAATATATTTACATTAAGTGGCGGAGCTAGTGGGCTCAAAGGTGTACGCCCTCCAATTATTTGAGTTTTGTATTTTTATTACGTACTACTTGATTTATTTTAAAATTTAAGTAATTGGCTGGCTCTATAAATTTTATAAAAATATTATTAATACATATATATTTAACTTAAACACCTAAAAAAAATGGCCAAATGCAAAAAATATCTTTATTAATCCCTACGATCGATGGCTCGGAGAAATTTTTTGGGAATAAAAAAACGCAATATGGTTCACAAATCGCTGCCTAGATATATTTTGAACACTGATGTGTGAAACTAGACATGCGACCTTACAACACCTCAGTTCGCATATGCGAAACACGGCCGTGTTGTTAAAATGGAATAATGTGCGGGAATGGACAAAGCCATGTATCAGACCGTATTTGTTGTGGGTTATTTTATTTTTTTATTTTTAAATTCAAATCGATCAAACACGGGAGTCTCCGGCAACGACGGCACAGGGCGACAGCGTGAACTGCTGCCCACGAAGATGTAGGCGGACAATGACCTACACAGCGGTGGTGGATGACAACTGCCGTAGGTGTGGCTAACAATTTTTTAAGAAGAAGAGCGATGAGATTAAAAAAACAAAAAGTGACTATTTCAATCTCTTCAACGATGTTTTGTCCGTACAACGCTTTAGTTCTTGCGTTTGTCGATACAAAAATTTGACAAATGGGTTTTAGTTTTTAGGTTTGAATTTTTGAATAATAAAAAATTGAATTTGAATAGTTGTTTGATTTAATATAAAATATGATGTTTTGAAGGTAAAATAAATTCTTAGTATAATATTAAAAAAATAATTGTTTGATATGATATTTTTTTTAAAATAAAAAATTCACAAAAGAATACAAAGTTGTGACGGCAGGGAACAGTTTTTTTAAATGGTATTAGCGAACTTGTGGTCCTGAAATTATACATAATATTTGAATTATGTTTATTACATGTAGTTTATGTAGGGTGTGTTTGTTTGGGGATTGGATTTTCAATCCACTAATCATCTCATTTTTTTTTCCCCAAAAATATCAAATTAAAGACTTATTTTTTATATTATACTAAAAATAAATTTTACATTCAAAACATTACGTCAAACACCTATTTATATCACATTATACAACTATTCAAATTCAAAATTTTTACTGTTAAAATCCCAACTTAAAATCCAAACTCCCAAACAAACACACCCTATAGTGTAACTTGTAGTAGTTGCTAATATTGTGTAAATATAAAAAAAAATAAGAAGTTAGAAGTTAGAGACTAAATTATACTCGCTCCCTCCATGTAAATATAGTAGTAAAAATAATTATTGTATAATAATTTTAATTATAGATTAATATAAATATAATTTAATTAAAATTATAAAATTATAAAATTTTAAATTTAAAATTTAAAATAAAATTAAAATATATAATTATATTTTCAGAAAATAAAATGATAAATAATGGATGACGTGGAGGGAAAAATTAAAACAGAAAATAGAAAGTCCATTATTAATAATCTATGGGTCTGAATATCAAATACTCCTATTCTTTTAGGATTTATTTCCGATTAGCCGTTTAAAAAACATAACGAATTTTGATTAAATGCAACGCAGAAACGAAGGTTGTTCTTAAAACCCCAAAGCGGAAAATCGCGGTGGAGAGTGAGCGAGTGAGTGAGTGCAGAACCGACCAAAAATGCTCGAAAGAGCAATCCCCACGCGGCGCCCGCCGCACGACGTCGGAGCTCCCGAAGATCACGCCGGAGATCATACCGGCGACGACTCCAAGACTCGCAAGCACATCTCCCTCGCTATTCGCCTCACCAATTGCTTCATCAGATCCGGCTATTTCTGGCCAATTATTGCTATCGCCCTAGCTCTTGTCATTATCTCTTCTGTAATTGTTCGCTCCCGAGATTTGGTTTGCATCTCCGCCTCCTCCGCTGATCATATCTCGCGAATGAGGTTTTTCGGATTTGACGGACTCGAGACGGATTTCGGAGCCCTAGGCGTTCCCTGGTGTAAGTCTTGTTCTTTTTTGTTTTTTTTTTGAGGTTGCTTAGGGAATTTGGATTTAGAAGTCGAATGCTGGCATTTTATCCGTACACGAGTCCTTGTTGCAAAATTTTAAGCTGTGATCCGTGTTTCTAATTGATGTATGTTGTAGTTAACTAGACACCGGTTTGAATAGTTTTTTAATGATGATTGTTGAAGAAAATTTCACTCGTTGATGCATGGGATCTATGCATTCGCTTGCTATTAGACTATAATATTCCTTGCTTGCTAGAAATGCCAGTGTTCTTTTGGGTGTAAAATTTGCAGTATAATGCTCTGAGTTTAAATTCTTAGAGTGGACAGAAGTTTAGCAAAAGTTTTTTTAAGTATGCATTTATATTGTTACATGAGGTTTTGTTGGTGTGTCAACTTCCATCAATTTATCTACTCATGTAGTGCTTATCCTTATCAAAAGGCAGATCGAAACATGGAAAAACTGTGGAATGGACATCCAAGGATTTGATTCAAGGTCTTGAGGAGTTTGTGCCGATTTATGAAACCCGACCGATCAAGAACAACATGTATGGGATGGGGTTTGACCACAGTTTTGGACTATGGTTTATGGCGAGATGGTTGAGGCCGGATTTGATGATTGAGAGTGGTGCTTTTAAAGGGCATTCAACGTGGGTTTTGAGGCAAGCGATGCCCGATACGCCTATTGTGTCTCTTTCGCCTCGACATCCTGAGAAGTACCTTAAGAAGGGGCCAGCTTATGTTGATGAGAATTGTACCTACATTGCTGGAAAGGATTTTGTGGATTTTGGGAGCATGGATTGGGAAAGAGTGATGAGAAAACATGGAATTAAAGATCGAAGTAGGGTACTTATTTTCTTTGATGATCACCAAAATGAACTAAAGAGGTAATGAATGCTCTTCTCAAATGCATAACATAAACCTCTTTATTAATTCAAAATTATTAAATGTTGCTGATGTAACTTGATCCATTAATGAATAGATTAAAGCAGGCGCTTAAAGCTGGTTTCAGCCATCTAATTTTTGAGGACAACTATGATACTGGAACTGGGGATCATTATTCATTGAGGCAAATTTGTGATCAGTTTTATATAAGAGGTATGTGTTCTGCTCTAGTTTCCACCAAGTTTTGTCACTGGCTAATATGCATCACATTTTTTGTAGTCAACTAGCTGTTATACCAAGGTTGAAAAGGAAAACTTAAACTGTATGTGTGGATATCGAAATTTTATGGGTTCTGTTTCTACCGTGTAGTAACTTGCATATCAGTGGTACTTATTTTCTATCTTAGGACTCCAAAAGGCTCTGCGCGTTCTCTTATGGGGCTGTTTTGCTTGGTATAGATAACAAGAGTTCCTCATGAGTAAATTTTCATTTCATAATATGGCCTGTTACAATAATATCTTAGCTTATATAAGTCGTTATTTTAAAAAAAGAAAAAAGAAAAAATCATTGATAGTTCAATAGAAGCGATCAATGATCATTATTTGTTGATCATAACAGGTTTGTAAGATTATATTGTGTTTGGGCATTGTCTTTTGCAGCCATCTAGTCTTGAATATGAATGTTCACCTTGAGATGCCTGCTTTGGGAGTTCTAATGTGTTTTAGGCATGCTTTTATTATTCCTTTGAACTTTTTATTTTGATATCTTTTTCCGGTTTTTGTTGTTTGTGTTTTCCATGTTCTTTTGGTGACTGATTGACTATATGAAATGCAATGGCTGAGGGTAACTGTTCAAGTGTATGGTTTTTGTCGAGTAGTAAAATTTGAAACAGACATAGCCCAGTCGTAAGGCTTTTGCTAGGCAACTTAAGTTTGGTGTCAAGTTCAACATGGATTTATATACTTTTGAATTTGGAGAACTTCTATACATGCATGATCATCGAATGACAATTGGTGGTGAATCTGGAGAAGCAAATGCTTATTGTTTTTATCAAATTAACCCGAACAAATAAATAACTGGTCCAAAGCTAATATCACTAACCTTATTCCTTCACTTTTCTCTCTCTATGGCGATCTCCTTTATTTTATCTTTGGAACCTAAAATTTGTAACTTTCAGTTGGATGTATATAGTGATGCTTGATCCTTGTTTTTTGTTTTATAGTTAAAACATAGCCTCTACCTTATTCTTTCTGCCTAAGAACTTCCTATGAGCAGAAATTTGCTTCATTTTTCATCCATGGACGTTTGCAAAATTTTAATTATACATATATACATCCTTACCTTTTTATTGTGTCTGAAAATGACTTTCACTGACCCAGGTGGTGGGCACAGTTGCTTTAAAGACAGCGACGAAGCTAGAATAAGACACAGAAGGAGGAAATTCTGGGACAAGGCAGTCGACATAGACGAGCTGTGTGGACCTGCAGAATCGTGGTGGGGTGTAAGAGGTGAGATGCGTGACGATTTCAACCACAGCAACAAGCCAATCTCGTACGCCGATCATTTCCGGAACAGCTTGTACGTGGAGTCGATTCTCGACGTTTACTGGGAGCTACCTCCCGTTGCGGGGCCCTCACTGACCCACCAGACAAGATACGATCCGGCGCGCGCACCAGCTCCCGTCGTGGAAGACGGCAGGTACGGGTTGTTTAGGAGGCTCGGATTGTCGGAACTCGACCCTTCTGTATTTAATGGATACACACAAATGGTTTATCTTCAGGTCTCTAAACCTGAAACATAAAGGTAGGAATCCGTGCTGGATCTTGTTAGATTTTTGGTATCGTTTTGTCTTACTCACTTTGTCAATAACTAAGCTAAGCTTGTGATGCTTTCATGTCACGGTTACTTGGAAAGCTGTTCTTGATCAATTTGTCAAATGCATTAGCTGAATTTAGAATTTGGTTCAACATTGTGTCATTGATTTATATGGAAAATGTCTGTTTAATCATATGATATTTTTCGATATTAGATAGGGCAAAAATAGGCATGATTCGAAAATTTGGCTCAGCTTTGTCACCAAAAGTATATGTTTCTTCTCTAGGTGATTCAAAATTGTAATTTTATTATTATTTATATTTGTTTATGATGTGAAAATTCGCATCCCTATTGAAACTGCCTATTGAGTAAACTCCGGAACGTAATACTAAGGTCCGACAAGATAAGTCACACTAGACGAATGATATGTGACAGGCCTGGAGGCATTAGAAAGTTACAAAACTATTTATTATTATTATTATTATTATTATTATTATTATTATGTTCAATTATCACATTTATTGTATGATGAATTATATTCAATTATGTATATTTCACTTAATTATTTGAAAATTTGGTAATAATTGGCCACGTGACCTGAATGCCACATGATTATGGAAAATAATGGGGTTCGTTTTGTTTAGAATTGAAATTTTGATTTAAATTTTAGTTTAAATATATAATATTTTGTAATAATATAATGTCATTTAGAATCTTATTGAATAGTGATGATTTAGAATTCAAATAGATCGAAATCAAGCATAAGTAAATTACGATGACAATAATAATAATTTAACATACACACGACGACACAAACATTACAATTTTTTATCCTTAATTGTCAAAGCAAAATAACATAATTCACGTATGGGATTGATTAGTAATAATTCATTAATTAAACACACATATTCGGATGCATACTCACAAATATAATATTTATTGAATTGTTTAACTATATATAACATTTATTAAATTGTTTATAAAGTATATATGTTTAAACATGTAACAACATCTGCATGGTGTCAACTTATTTAATAAAAAATCGTTTAAGCATTATTTAAACATACTAAACCACATAAGAAACCATAGTGTAATTTATTTTTATTTTTTTAAAAAAAACTTGAATATTAAATACCCAAAAAAAAATTCAATTGAACAACTTTTCAAGAATATTAAACCATATTAATTAATTATCAGTAATATTACTTGAGTTCTGTTGTATACTAAAAGATAATAATATTTTATTGGTTACCAGAAATATAGTAAATTTTGATATTTTTATCTTTTAATTTTTTGTATAAAGTAATCGTATGTGTAATAATATATTTATAATTTAAGTAGAAATTAAAAAGTATTTTGGTATTAGTATATTATTACTTTTTTAAAATAGAAGATGGATATTTAAGTGGGATATAAAAAATAAAAATAAAAATAAAAATAAAAATAATATTTTAAGTTGGAACGGAAGAAATATTACGGTTCTTTTATATATATATATATATCATCCCTCGTAATCATGTCACTAATACTATTATTTAATTTATTTGTATGGCCTAAAAGAATGGGATCCAATGATAAATTTATTAGTATATATACATAAAGTAACACAAAAACACACACTCTTATTCGATTTATTAGTTTTTAATAAGAAGTAAAGTTTGTGTGTAATCCGAAATATAAAATTAGGTAATAACAAAAGTTGGTGCATCAATAATTGTTGCTCAACCATTATTAATGTGTGAAAGTTGTAAGTATATTTGACAAAATTTACATAAAGAATTACTTTTTCTATAATTCAATCATTATAACATGGGATCTCCCATTATTGTAACATTGATATATCATCTTACACTTAATTATTACTAATTGATTAAATATTTTAATAACATTACTCATTTAAAATAATGTTTATATATCACTAGCATATTTTGTATAACATATATTGTATAAATTGTTATTATGTATTGTTACTTCATATTTTACACAAATATTGTATCAACTTACCTTTTGTATTATTATATATTGTTAGACCAAATATTAGTATTTACCGTATGTATTATTGCAATTTATATATTACATTTGTATATTATATTAATATACATTTTATATTGTTGATTCATACTTTATATATTGGTCGTTTATATTCATATAATGTAAGCACGACGCTGGTAATTATATATCCCTGTGATTGGATATATAAGTATTCAATATATTTATATTGTAATTAAATGATTTTTATTTTTATTTTTTTTTAATTTTTTTGCAAGGGCCAACATAATTTTTGTCACATTTAGTAATTTTTTGTTGTTCAATAAATTTATAGTATAATTCAACATATTTCAATAATTTAGAACCCTTTGACCCCAATCACATTTTTTTTCTTTAACAACATAAAATAAATCAGAATTAGAAGAATAATTAAAGTGCTTGTTGGAGCTAATCAAAATATGAAAATAGAACATAAAACACATGAAAATAAAACATAGATAGATTGTTGGCATATTTTGTTTATGTTATTTTATATGTTAATTGTGTTGATATATATTTTCTATTGATCCATTGTAGCATAAATTGTGTGAACTATTGTCATTTTATATATTTACCTAATCCTATCGATTTATACCTCATATATATATTGATATAATATATTGTGTGATGTTAGCATTGTGCTGACATGTAACATTTTTTTTTTTCTTATGTTAGAAGACAAAAATATCAAAATTTATATGCAACTAATTAAATTCAAGTATTTTTACAATAATAATAATAATAATAATAATAAAGACACAAACCACAAAAAAACCCTACCTATGACAAATTTCCAAAATAAATAAATAAATAAATAAAAAGAATAGAGTAGATTTCCAACAACCTTTTTTATTCTTTAATTTGTTTAATGTTATTAAGGTCAACAAGAAAATGACTGCCATCACAAAAAATAACTATAAACTAAACCAACCTTTTTCTTCAATTGCCCTAAAGTTAATCTTTACCCATCATTCAATTTCAAACTAATTATGATTTTTATTTCTTTAACTTCATGTATAACCACTTTTACTACAAAACAACAACCTTCAATTAATTTATAATTACATATATACATACACACACACATATATAGAAAATTTTGCAATTTTTATCATGTATTAAATCTTAATCCCCTAAGTTATACTGTTTTATTTTATTTTATTTTATTGGGTTAAAATTTAGATATCCCTAAGCACTATTAAAATATCCAAAATAAACTAAAATTAAGAGGATTGGTGAAACTATTTGTATTAACTAAGTGTATTTTCAACGTTAAGTATAGTTATTCTTAAATAACTTTTAATTAAGTGAATATATATTTATTTAAAAAAAAAAAAAATCTTATAGCGAATCCATCCCAGATATATATGTTTTTCCATCAAATAAATTAAATTATACCCATATTGTTGCTTTTGAATAAAGTAATTTTTTTAAAAAAATAAAATCAATATATTGCTTTTAGGGGAATCCTCAAGTAATTATCAAAGAATGACGTTCCGTCCAAAGTATAAATTCTTTGTACAAAGCTATCATCTTTTTTGCATTTATAGAAACAATTTTGTTATTTTTACTTTCCTAAAATCTATATAATTTTTATCTATTAATAATTACCTATGCATTCTCCTCGTCATTTCAAAATTCTATAACACAAACTAATCCTATATAAAAAATATAAAATAAATCATATAAGCTTAAATACATGTAATTCATTTAAGACTATTTCTATTACCCAATTTAAAGGTGTCATAAGCTCCATAGGTGTCTTATTTTTTTGGCTAAAAACACTCACCATCACTTCTTTTTTTTTTTGTTTTTTGCCCCACTTTACAAAAAAGCTAAAGTGAGAATATAAAGAATAAATAAATTGATGCAATAAACACAATTCTTTTTTTTTTAAAGTGAAATTAGGGATGATCAATTCTCTTACCGCACAATAAAATCTGCACCGTTGATGGTGCAGGATCCACAGGATCAACGGTGAGGATTCAACCTGGTGTGCCGAGTCCAATGAAAAGAGATCAAATTGAAGGACACAAGTATAAAATACTCTACGCTGAAAAAGACATGGAATTTTCTTCTCAAACGCTCACAAGGCCGCGTTTGGTCGCGCAGAAAGTGGATTTTGGGAATTTTTGGGAGAATTGTCGAAGAGATCATCGTTTGATTTCACGAGTTCTGAGGAAAATTGAATCGAGTTTGATTGTTGCTGTTTGATTTCGTGGAGATTTTGATTTGAATTCATCGATCAGTGGTTTAGTTTAGTTTAGTAATCCGATGATGGCTGGAAACCCTAATTGCTGGGGAATCAATAATGTTAATGGCGTCGGCATGCATCCACACGAGTACCAGCTGTCTCCGCCGCCGCCGCCGTTGTTGGTGCAGTTTCCGGCGAACTCCTCAAACCCTAATTTTCAGGATTTTCCAGTTAGGTCTTGGAGCCAGTTGCTTCTGTATGTATCGTTACTTACATACATACATACATACATACATATATGTATATACATCTCTCTCTCTCTATATATATATATATTGTGTGTGTATGTATTGATTTGCAGGGGAGGAGATCAGGAGGAGAGATTTGTGGAGGCGAATTTGTTGGGGCAAGAGAAGAAATTGGAGAATTGGGAGGATCAAGTTGCAAATTTGAATGTGAAGGAGGAGATGATGTCATCATTGCCATTGGCAGCGCCTCAATCTAGCTATGGGGACGATGATGAATTCCAGGCCGTTAGATCTTCGTCGTCGTCATCCAACGGCTGGCCTACCTCCGCCGCCGCCGTTGTCTCTTCTCCGACCTCCTGCATCACTAACAGCATCCTTAATTTCTCCTCTCCATCGCCCAAACCTCAGCACCACCGCCATGCCCACGAACACTCACCTGAGGTAATTAATTTCATTGAATTGAATTAAATGGAAGTTTTAGTTTTGATATTTGAGGAATGATGAATTTCAGCTGTGTTGACATTTTCCATAAAAATAAATGATAGTAATAATTTTTAGTAATTTTGGGTGATAATTGATGTCTGAATACTCATGATTACTAATTTGAAGACCATGAACTTGTTGGTATGGTGTCACAATTCATTTTGTCAATACTTATTGATTTATTGATTGTTTGTTTGTTTTAAATAGATTATTCTATTTTATTCATTATTTTTTTTAAAAAAAAAAAAAAGAAGGAAAATAGCAATGGGAACAGCAGGAGTAGCTGCAAGAAGGCTAGGGTTCATCACTCATCTGCCCAACCAGCTTTGAAGGTCAGGAATCTCTCTCACTTTTATTTCTATTTTAATTTATTTTAATTTTATTCACCCCATGCTTCAATAATTTCCATGTATGTATGTTTATATATACTCTGTAAATTACATTGATATATATATTATCTATAATTTAGATATATTTTAGGTATGTTTCTTTTGATGGAGTTTGAAATTTTTTATTTAAATTTGGTATTAAAATAATGTATAATGAGATATTTTACGAAAAAATATATATATATTTTTCAAGAAATATAGAGTTCAAATAGTAAAAATATGTGGTTTAAGGTTAAAGAAACAAACCCTTGTTTTTTAGATTCACATGAGGCTTAATATTAATAATTAATATGTCCCGAAAAATTCATTAGAGCATATGCAATTAAAATTGTGAATTTCAATAATTTATAGGATCAAATTACTAATTGTTTTGAAAATGTTACTATTAATATATATTATTCCCTCTTTCCATGCAATATATATACATTTATTTTTTGTCAAGACATCAAAAAACAATAATATTTTAAAATGATAGTTGTATTTTTTTGTGTGTAATTTTTTTTTTTTTTTTTTTTTTTGTTCTTATATTTTGATTTGATGTAATAATATTGTATAAATATACATAACTTTGAAGATATTTAGAATGTATAGTGTAGTTAAAATTATATATATATATATGTGCAAAATGAAATGAAATGAAAGTAGATGATGATGATGATGATGATGATGCACGCGCATGCAGGTGAGGAAGGAGAAATTAGGGGATAGAATAACAGCACTTCACCAACTCGTTTCTCCTTTTGGAAAGGTACTTCTCTCTCTCTCTCTCTCTCTCTCTCTCTCTACATTTGCTTACCATTATTATTATTATTATTATTATTATCATTATTATTTATTTAACATTATTTCCTTTTTGGTACGTCCCAAACATCCTGCAACATTTTTAAAATAAGAAATGATTAATTATATTTAATCTCTATCCCACACTTTATCCTCGTATCATCCAAATAAAAAAATAAAATATATATTTCACTCTCCATCACATCACCTAATTTCTAAATTATCTTACTTAATACTATCCACCTAAAAACTCGTGCCAAAAGTAAATATTGCACCTTGTTTGGGACGGAGAGAGTACTATTTTCATCCGGACTTAAAAGTATCATTTTATATTTCTTTAATGGATTAAAAAAATTATACCATTCCCTCTGTCATGCAAAAAATTAAGTAAGATAATTTCTAAATTATCTTACTTAATACTATCCACCTAAAAACTCGTGCTAAAAGTAAATATTGCACCTTATTTGGGACGGAGGGAGTACTATTTTCATCCGGACTTAAAAGTATCCTTTTATATTTCTTTAATGGATTAAAAAAATTATACAATTCCCTCTGTCATGCAAATGTGTGCTCATTTGACTTGGCACGGATTTTAATAAAAGTGAATAATAATTATTAATTTTTTATTTTATAGTAAAAATTATACAAAAATAGAATGATTTTTTACTTAAAAAAAAATGAGAATATTTTTACAATCCAAAAAAAAAGAAAGCAAGCATAGATTTGAATAGCATATGGAGTATTATTTTATTAGTTAATTGAAGTATTTAAGATGATTTTAATATTTTTGTATTTGCAAGTACAAATGAATATATTGTTTTTACTATAATATAAAATTGATACTTTTGAATAGACTGATGAAACTGCTAAGATGGAACGGAAATAATATATGTTCTAAGGGTTGGAAAGAAATTTGAGAATAATAATAAAATAATTCAAGTAAAGTAAAATTTTATATATGGCATACATAGATGTATGATGAATATATTTTGAGTAGAAAATAAAATTTTAATTTTAAATATATATATATATATATATATGATTGGTTTGATAATTTTGAAGAAGAAAAACAAAATTAAGTAATGTATAGATAGTTTTGGGAGTTTTAAACATTATTCATTGGAAGTGTTTTTTTTTTTTTCAAAAAAAAAATGTTACATTATATATTTATTTTAATTTTTTCATAAAATTTCATACTCCTATTAAATATTTAATACATTTTAAATGAAGATTTAACTGATTATAAGTTGTGATTTAATTATTTGCCATTAAATTAAAAAATAAATAAGTTTATGGAAAAATGACTGTGAGAGTATTTATGTGTGTTTTTTTGGTCAGACTGACACAGCATCTGTCTTGTCAGAAGCCATTGGTTACATTAGATTCCTTCAGGCTCAAATTCAGGTAAATATTTAACATTATTTATATGAATGGATGGCTATGGAATATGTATTGTCAGAAACTCAAACTACGAAACAAAAGTAACTTTCACATTTAATTTAATTTAATTACATTTTAAACTTATAATTCCTATTTTATTTTTTTCAAATTTATTCGATATATTTATTTATTTATTAAATATGGTCTGGGTGGTGCAGGCACTAAGCTCTCCTTACATGCGCAATGCAACAGCAAGCTCAGGACACCACCAACATTCTGTAATTAATTATTCATATATATATAATGCATATATTTTTATTGCATAATTCAACTTTTTGGTAATTAATTAAAATGTGCGTGGAATTTTATTATATCATAATTCAACTTTATATAATAATAATAATAATAATAATAATATTGTTTGCAGGTGTTGAATGGTAGTGTTGACATGGAAAGAGCAGCTCATAATAACCAGGTAAGGTTATCTCCACTACTTTTTCTTATCCAAATCACTTTTTCTCTTTGTCAGGTCGGAGATACTCTCTTTTATTTTATATTCACAACCAAGATACTCATCCTAATTTTTTAATAAATTTTTATTTTTATATTATATATATATATATTATTTTTTAATTATAATTTTAATTTGTAGTATTAATTATTTATTTAATTAAATTTAGTTTTAATTGCTTTAAAATTTATAATTATATTTTATTTAATAAATTAAATTAAATTTACTAATATTGATTTGTTCAATAGAAATTACAAAAACAAAACATATATAATATATATTATATATATACATATATATATACATACATAAGTGTCATATGTCCCAATTAAATCGGGACACATGGCATTAGAATCACATCTTCCCAACATCTCTGCATAGATGTTGGGAAGCACGGTTCTTTTTTTTATTTTTTATTTTTAAATGATGATGTGGCGCATCTCCTCGGAGAAGATGCGCCCCATTGCGGATGCTCTAAAAGATATTAATATTGGTATTGCAAAATTTAAATTTGATTTAACTCAATGGCTGACTTATTACAATTTTATTTCATCTTAGTAATTCGTTTTAGAGAGGAAGTACAAGGAAATCTTTTTTATTAATAATTTTTTAGGATGTTCTATACTTGTATTGTTTATTTAATATTTCAATAATTTCGTAAGCAAGTCGACCTCTTTATTGTAACAAGGACTAAAATAGCAAATACCAAATTAATTACCTAAATAATTTTCAATATATAATTGTCACATACACTAATTAATTAATGTTCTTAGGTGAAACATTTTAGTATAATACTAAGAATGAAATAAATAAATAAATAAAATATTGCAGGATTATTTAGCAGCAGATTTGAGAAGTAGAGGGCTTTGCCTGGTTCCCATTTCCTGCACTCAGCATATGCCAACTGACGGCGGCGCCGCCGACTACTGGCCTCCCACCGCTTTAGGCACTGGCTTCTGATCGCCGGCGCGCCGGCGGCCATAGGTAACATCACAACCAGTCAGTTATTTATTATATATATATATATGAATATATTTCATTTTAAAATTAGTTAAGTAAATTGTGACTGACTGCTTCTGATGCTGCTGGAAACATCTCTGTATTTAAAACATAATTATATATATATATTAGTGTCATGTGATTTTGATTAATTATCTATATATATATATATATATATAGATAGAGAGAGAGAGAGAGAGAGAGAGAGAGAGAAAATTAAAACAACGTATAATTAAATAAATCATACACCTATTTATGTTCTGTTTTCATGCATACTTTTGAAAAATTGATACAATTGATCATAACAATAATTCTTTGAAAAAAACAAGTATCATACTCCTATTTAATATATTATTATTTTTTTTTTTATTTTTTTTTTGTGTATCATGTGTTGGTTTTTTGAAATAGTTTGGAAAGATATATATATATATTTTTACGGGAGATATGAAAATTATATAAGAAATATAAAAATAATAATTGTGTAATATATATTAATTTTTTTTAAAATATATATTAATCTAATTTAACAAAAAGAACACAACACAATTAAAATTCTTTCTTGAGCTGCTTTGATATTATATTTCTTTGCAAAGTTCAATGATGTTCGATGACGTTGTTTAGGATGCAGCCGGATTGTCCGGATTGTTGTGTTCTTTCAGAGTTTTTTTTTTTAAATAATAATAATTTAGATGTGATATTTTTAGAAAATAAAATAATATATAAATAATTGGTTGAAAAAAAATAATAATAAAAACTCTTAACACTTGGTAGTATTTTAATTTAAAATATTGAAAAGAAAAATTAAACTTTATATTTGATATTTTTACTATGAATCAACTTTTAGATGTTATTTTTAACACCTAAAAGTTGTTTTGTTTTTCTTTTACCCCATATACATTTTTTGGGGATCGAACTCAGATTATAGCCTCCAAGCCAAGGATGACTTAATACATGATCTACAAAGGTTTCGTAGTTTACCTAAAAGCTTGGGATATGCATCTGATCTAAAAGATCAAAAAGATTAAATTTTTAAATAAAATAATAATTTAATATAATATTAGAGCTGGGACGTTCGTATTCGAGTTCCACTGCATCCTATTCATAATTCATCATTGTCCACATGCAAGATTCATATGTGGTCTATATTTCAGCTTGTATGTAATAGAACGTGTTGTGAACTAATCATTAACAAAGATATTGAATAAAATTAAAAGAAAAGTAGTATAGATGTATTTTATCAAAAAAATATATACAACGAATAAATTAAAGACTGCTCTCATTTTTCTCACAGTCCAGACGTCATAAATCCATCAGCCACACGTTCTTATTTAGTTAATAATGAAATAATTTATTGTTGGAATGGATAATAATAATAATAATAATAATAATAATAATAAAATAATTCTCTTTGTATTCCACTTCCAAAAGGGGATCAGAAGAGGGGTTTTTTTATTACACTTTATTACAAAGGTCAACACAATCATCCATGGGTATGTTGTTTTGGTCGAGTTTGAAAATTTTTTATTTGAGTTTGGTATTAAAATAATTTTTGATGTAATATTTTGAAAGATGAAAAAGTGTATTATTTTTAGAAACGACAGAATCTTAATAGTAAAATTTAAAAAAATTGATCTAAAAAGACAAACCCTAAAATATATTGCACAACATATATATATATATATTGAATTCTACTCATCTATAAAGCAAAAAAAGACGTTGTAACCCAAATTCAACTCAATAATACAAGTTGAATAATTTTTTCTTACGAAATAACTCAATATATTTTTTATACAATTCAACAGATCTTTATTATAATTCAATAATATATTTCATATAATAGGGTATATAAATTCAACATGTTTTACACTCTAGTTGAACTTGAACAAAACCAATACTAACAGACTAACTATACTACAATGCATCTTGGTAGACAACCAACCAACCAACCAACCAACCATTCCAAGACATTAGCTCAGCTAATCTATCCAAACTTACCTTAGCTTAACTTAGCTTACAGTCCAGCTCCAGCATTATAGAAGAAATAATTATATCTACTTATCATCGAACCAACACGATACTAATTACTATGCATCACAAAATCTACTTACTACTGACCTGCAGGGAAGCCACCAATTCAGCGTGTCCCATCTTGGTGGCCTTTGTCGACACATTTCTTACTTGTTTTCTCGCCCCCCCTCTGTCTCTTGTCGCCTGCTAAATAACAGTAAAAACAAATGAAGATTAATCTTAATCTTACTGCCGACACAGGTCAGGGAATGATCCAGCAATGGCCAATCCATGACTTAAATGGCACTGCAAGCATACCTACACTCTCCTTTTATCCTCATTAGGGCCTCAGTGCTAATAGGATTGCGCCGGATCCCATGGAATATTTACAACGTTTGCAGTCATTCGAATGATAATTACTAGATATAGTTGGGCTGACTGAATGATCCAAGTTAGGCGACTCAACAACAATCGAGGCTCGCCTAGTTGACATATTTAGGTCATACATTTCCGTTATGGAATGGTAGTTCGTACTTTTAGTTATAGCTAATAAGTAGACCCTTATCTTCTGTATATTTTGAGACAAGGCTTGCATAATCTAGAATCCTCAAAATGCAACTTCAGGAGAGTTTCCGACAAACCATTCAAAGCATTCCCAATACGGTAAAAATGTAAATAATATTTGAACTGATGAACAGATCAAAGAATATCTTAGTTCAACAATTCCTTATACTCAAAGAACATACCTCTTGGAAAACATCGATCCGTGCCATGATTTAGCTGAGCATTTTCTTCAGCTCCTTCTTGTTCACCTGAACACAGAAACATAATCACGTTCGAAGATAAATCAAGAAGAACACAAGAGAAAAGGAAGGTAAAGTAGGTTACCTTCCCCATGGCATTCCGAGGCAGCGACTCCCATACCAGTAGGCGGGTTGGGATCTAAGAATTGAAATTAATATGAAGAGGAATGAATTTCAGAATTTCATATGGTGCTGTTCATTCATCAGTATCAATGGCTTGGGGACGAGTTGCCCCCATACCTCTCAGATAAATACAACAAGCTAACATTCAGAAGAAATCATTTGATATTACCTTGTACGGTGCAAGCTTATCTTTAGCCCACGCAGAAAGTTCTTCCAGAGTCAGAGCAGGCTTCGACTCTTCCTCTTGTTTTCTCTTAGTCTCTTTATCAGGTATAACTATAGCACACACAGCATCACCATAATCTTGGTCGGGCAAACCCAACACACAACATTCTATAATAGTCGGATGCTGCAAAGAAAAATGGCTTAAATATAACACAAAGTGATCGAAATAAAAGAGAGAGGACTTTCTGTAAATATAATCCACTAGTAGCACTGATGATGCAATACAAACCTCCAAAAGGGCTGCTTCAATTTCTAGAGCCGATAGTTTATAACCTCCAACTTTCATAATATCGGCATTTGTCCCTAAATCATGACACGGTAGCATGTTATTCTTTATTTTGTAATGTCAATTGTCTCAAAACACTTTGAATGAAGGAAAAAACTTACGTCCCAAAATGACATAGTATCCTTCTTCATCCATTGTAACAGCATCTCCAGTTTTGAAGAATCCATCATCTATTAATGAGTCTTTGGTCACCTGAGTCATCAAGAAGTTTGATGAATAATTCAGGCCCCCACGTGAAGGTTTTTCAAAGGTTGTTAATCCAAGTGCACCATAGGATGCTTCAGTTAAAAATTTTGTACTGCACTATTTGATAATAGCCAAATTGGGAAGCAAGAGTGAGAAAACAAGACCGATAAGTAATTCAAGACTTTTTGGGATGAGGATTTACTATCATTTACTTTAAGAATACCTCTGGCAAATTCCAATATTCCTTGAACAATGAGGGGCTTTTAATGCACAGCTCACCAATTTTCACATTAGTGTCTCCACTGCCATCTTCTGCGAGAATCTTGACCTTTATCAAGGAATGAACTTTGAGTAAGTTGTTAATGATCAAAAACTAATCTCCAAAACACCAAAATCCATCAAGATAGTCATTATTCAATATTTTTTATAGCTCACAACTTAGCAAATTTGTAATTACATTGGATCAGCTCAAACTGCTAACCTGCACACCAGGGAGAGGCTTGCCAACAGTACCCCCCTTCCGTTTGCCATTCAAGGGATTAGATATTGCCATAATAAACTGGAATATAGAACCATACAAATGGATATATTCATTAGTGCATCGATCAGATTGAAATAAGGAGCCATTCGACATAGATGCAGACACAAACCTCAGTCATGCCATATCGCTCCAACAGAACGTGGCCTGTGACAGCTTCCCATTGTTTCATGACTGGAAGAGGGAGAGCAGAGGAACCACACATCTATCAATCAACAAACTTGTTCAAAATGTGAAGTAGGAGTTAATTGTCTATTTTGACTGATAAACTAATCATGGGAATAGTTACCATTAGAATGATAAGCTTAAATATACTAATAAGAAGATCTAGATGATCAGCATAATTGTTCATAATCTAATAAGTATTATCAAATACACTGGTTATAAGATAGCTACAAAAATATCAGAAATATAATTAGTTAAATCAAGATTAAATATCTAAATGAACGTTACAATATAATTTCAGGGAGAAAAAGCTTGGATTAATTATTTACACAATTTAACTTAGAATTTATTACCCTGCTCTCTTTTGGTTAAGTTTATTAAATAAACATCCCAAACAATCATAATAGACATGAGATCACATTAATACATTTTATGAAAAGAATGGTGGAAACATTTCTTCCAGACTCTTTTCAAAATTACGAAATTCAAACAGAGAAATTAGCTAATATCTGGTATCAGAATTCCCATTTATATTTCTTGATATGAAATGGTGTAATCTGAAAATGAAAAATGTTAACAAGCTAGATTACCATGAGTCGCAACTTCCGAGCGGCGGCAGCAGAAACATTTTTTAAATCTTCATCCATGGCTTCATATCCCTGAAGTAAACGTGTGTACATTGTTGGTACCTGTGGAAGTGAAAACTGAGTAAATACAACTGAATCTCGAGTTGACTGACTCATAGTCCGATCCCCTAATCGAAAATAAATAAATAAATGAAGAAGGCAGATTATGCCAGGAGTGGTTTATCTAAATAAACAAGAAGAAACAGAGGATATAGAGAGCAAATGAACTATGAGCTGCAACATTGCTTCATAGTTGATCAGATCACTGGAAAAGGAACCATGCTGTTGTCTAGAATATTGAAAGGCAATTTTCCAGACAATGACATCGACATCAAAGTATAACTTACTCCGGTGAACACGGTTATAGCACCATCTGCTTTAGTGCTATCCTCCTGGTAAGATTCTCGCCATCTCTGCCAGATTCCCCGTACACTAAATTTGGGCATGAGTTCAACCTTCAAAATATTCGAACAAATTCAAAATTCAAGCAGAACTAGTTGATTCAGGATAGCTTGAGGAGCTAAATGACCTTCAATAATTTCAAATAAGCTAGTAGATATAGCTAGAATGAATATTTAAAAAAAGAAAAAAAAGAGGTTACCGTTGCACCAGCATAGAGAGGGGCAAGAAGAGCATTAAAAAGACCATGGACGTGTATGGAGTTTGTTAAGACAAACAAGGATCTCAGAATCACATCTCCCTACATGAACTATAATAAAGGAAAATGGCAAGCCACACGAGTGGAATGATAATATTCTAGGCAAACAGGATAGAGAAGCATGTCTGAGGATATGATGCAGAGGCATGCAATTCAAGAAATGGTCATCGGACGTGTATCCCCAAGCATCCGTCAGCATTTGAGTCTGAAATTTTTCCACAGAATAAAAACCATTGATATCTTTCCAAAACAAGCTTGCCGATGCACAGGAGCTAAGAAATTTGTGCACCAAATCCTAATATAATTATCTTTTAAGGAAACAACAAAAAAGTTCTACCAGACAATAGGTCAATAAAAATCTATTTGTACAGAAGTCAAACAAGTACCTGTGCCAAAATACCTTTATGCGTGTGCACGACTCCTTTAGGCTTACCCGTGGTGCCGCTGGTGTATACGATCAATGCAGGGTCATTTCCTAAATCGAACCATCAAAATAAAACAGATAAAGATATTGTCATCCTTACAGATATATATATCAAACGAAACATACAATGATATAGCCACAAGAGCAACTCACCACTTAACTCAGGAAAAATTTCAGTTGCAGCTCCTATTTCATTTTCGGTTTCAGTAATACTGGTTTTAAGAACAGGAGGAAAAAGTGATACACGAGCAGAAGTCTTGGCTGCAACAGCTTTCATTAAGTTGTGATGACCTTCAGTAGATAAAATCATAGAGATATCCTACATGAAAGTTTGATCACAAAGGAAGTAACAAATTACAACACTTCCAATCAAATTCTAACAATTTTTTCAGGTATTTTCATTGTTTTTTTATCTAACAGTTAGAATGTCAAAAAAGTTTACGAGAAATTTAAACAATGAGTTTAAAAGATGGAAAGATAAGGAATCAATAGACATACCGAGTCATTCACGACATGCAGTAGCTCCATTTCGGGGTAACTGAGAGCAAGAGGGACTGCAACACCTCCGACAAACCATGTTCCAAGTAATCCAGCAACAAACTCTGGGGAGGGTTGAGCAACAATTCCGACTCGGGCTCCATGGAGATTCTTCTCATCTCCAACAGCATTGCTCTATAAACAAGCATTTTGTTAATGATTTTAATTTCTCCTTTATTTATTTGGTGAAATGGCTAAAGTTTTCAAATGCAGCCTAATTTAGCCCTACCTAATCGACATATTTAAGCACATCAAATGCTGAAATTAGCTAAACAAAATGATATAACATACGTGTTTTGAATCAGTGTTTGTTAACAAATTAGATATCTTCTTAGCAGATAAGATCAGCTGATGGTAACTATAGTTTTCCTTAGTTGCTCTTATTGCAATGTTCTCCGGGAATTTAGATCCTCTGCTGTCAACTGTCTTTACAAATGCCATCTGTACACTACAATGTGTACCTGTAAATTTAAAGCAGGAAATAGAATTAACTCAAAACACAATATGAACACTGAAATATAGCATCACAAGTTAACAATTAATTTTCAAATTCATCCCCGTAGATTGGTATTAAGCCAGAGAAATTGTTTCTTTACAAAATCCTACTGTTATTGCAACAAAACTAAAAATGGTAATGGTCATAAAAGACGGCCATTGGTGAACTAAACATACTATGACATATAATATACTCCCTCCGTCCCGGATATTTTGTCCGCGTTACTATAGACACGGAAATTTAAGAGATGTATAATTAGTAAATAATTAAAATGTATTAGTGAAAATAATTATCGTATAATAAAAATAATTATAGATTAAGATAAAGTGTATAATTATTTTCAAAAAAGGAAAGTGATAAAATAAGTGGGACGGCGAAAATGGAAAAGTGGACACGAAAAGCGGGACGGAGAAAGGATGATAGAAGCTTAATCTTGCTTTCTTTGCTGCCATGTCAATCATGGCTACATAATCTAAACTTTCAAGTTCTTAAATATGCACTGTGAAGCAACATACGAACACGGACAAGAAGCTTCAGAGCATTGATGATTACAAAAGCATACAGTATGCGAATTAGACGTTCTAAACATTTCATTCACTGGCACAGAAACCATATTCTTCTCACTACTCATTCTAAATTACATTCAACACCTGACTGCAACTACAAAAAAAAATTGAGAAACAAATTCCAAGTGCCAAAAAAATCGATCAGAAACTCAATTGGCACCTCAGGATCGTGACCTTATTGCATTTACAATTACAATCAGAGAAGAATTCCCAAGTCAGTTATAACACAAAGAGTCATTTATCCACTTGAGTTCCTGTTCAAGTGTTCATTCCAAGATCCATTGAAGTGTCGAATTAAAATTGCTCATGATTCATTGATTAACCAAACATTATCAGATTAACCTAACGAAAAAGATCTTTCTAGCATCTTCTGATCCTTACTTAAATAATTCAGCAAAATAAGTTATTAGCCCTCAAAAGTAATCATGAAACTTACTACAATTAAAATTAATCTCAGGGCTATTATTAGTATATTTGCACCCTAAACCCTAATTTATTCCATCTTCCAGCAAACAGGCGAAAATATATATATATATATCACCTGCAGAAATGAAGCGCGACTGAGAGGAACAATCGAACGGAGGTTTGCGAGGAAACACAGCCCACGAGTGCAACAACTTCAAGCCCGAATAGGAAGAAGAAGGATCATGAATACAAGAGCCTCCCGAGGAGCCCAAATACGGCACGGATTTGAGCTTGAGCATGGGGATCGGCAGGCGAATTAAATACTATGGCGTACAGTTGAGGATGTACTATAATAAATTCTGACCAAAACTGTAGATAAATTTTGAGGTGACCCACGTTAAATTTCTGGAATGCATTCCTTCCGCCTACCTTTCAGTTTCAGTGGCTCGAACGTGCGTGGGAGGATAAAGGCGCTTTCTACGTCTCGGGGAAACGACGAAGCAGTTGACGGAAAACGACAGAAAGGTTGCCAAGTGCGAAAAGAAAATTGTCACAAAAAGATAGTTGTCAGTGCTTACGTCTTTGTGTCTGCCTTGGTTCCACCATCCCATCAATGGCGCCAGGACATGTCCGACTGTTAAATGATTTTGGCATTGGCATTGCCATTGAGCTCAGCTCCTTCGATAGGAACCGAGCGTTTCACCTAACCAATTTTATTCCTCGGCTTCCAACTACTGCAATTTAAACATGGCAATATTTAGCAAGGGTATGTTTTTTGTCGGCAGGTTTTAATTTTTGAATTTGGATTTTTGAATATTAAAAAATTAAATTTTAATAATTATTTTATGTGATATAAAAAAAAATTAATATAATATTTTAAACGTAAAATAAATTTATAAAATAATATTAAAAAAATTATTATTATTTTATATGATATTTTTAAAAAAAAAAGAAAATTAAATAGTTCCTTGCAAGTTTGTATTTTACTATAAGGTGTGTTTGTTTGGTAGAATTATAAACTACTCTTTTCATCATACACTAATATCAATTTACCTAAATTATAAATTACCTAAATTATAAATATACAATTATACGTGCAATTTCTTAGGCAAAGCTAAAAAGGTCAATAACGAAGGAAAGGACTAGAGTATATTTTATTTATTAATCATTTTACATAAAATATTACTACATTCGTCCGATTGTCTCATTTATTTTTTGTGTATTGTGCAAAAAAAATTATACAAATATAAGAATATTTTTAAAGTGTGTTTGTTTGACAGATTTTGTGGGATTTCTACTATTCCCACAAAATCTTATCCAAAAACAACAAATTAAATATTTATTTTTTATTTTTTATATTATAAAAAAAAAATCAATTTTATACAAAAAAAAAAAAAAAAAAAATCACATCAATTCTTATTTATATCACATACGACTATTCAAATTCAAAATTTTTACTATTCAAATCCCAATCTAAAATTCAAACCCTCAAACAAACACACCCTTAATGTAAAATACAATGATAAAAGGTAAATGAGATCTTAGAGCAGAACGGAGAAAATAATATTTTTATATTATTTCTATATATTTAATATAAAAAAATATATGAACGGTCACATTCTATATGATTCTAAAGTAAAATATTACCTCAATTCAGCCGGAAGGGTTTCGTTTACTTTGTATTGATCTTTGAATATTAATTACTATATCAAAATATAGTACAAATTAAGAAAAAATTACAAAAATATTTTCATTGGTGTCTTAAAATACTACTAAAAGAAAATTTGTAAAAAAAGAAAAAAAAATTATACAAACTATAAAGATAATTTTAATGTTAGGTACAAATAAATGTAACCACCTGAAGTATAAAATAATTTTTTTAAAAAAATATTTGCCCTGAATCGTCAAATGAAGTTGAATTTTAAATTAACTTAGGAAATTTATTTTAAATACAAGTACAACGGAATAACTAAACCCAATTCTCAATCATTGGATACAAAATTCTTACTTGTGTTGTATCTTGCAGATCCACACCAATGTGAAGAACCAGCAATACAGTCTCTAACTGATCAAAGCTAAGAAACAGTTAAGATGGTGAGAATCAAATAATTGGTTACCCGTATCCTTAGAATTAAGAAAACCAGATTATCTGTACATGAAACCATGAAAGTAAAACAAAAGTAGAATTTCACATAATCGCATCACCAGCTTGTTCAAGAACAATACAACCACAGGCCAAGAAAATTTTTCCACATGAACAGATTATAACATGAATATTAATTTATCCTCGATCGGAAAAGAAATCCTAAGTTGCAAACAGAAAAACACTTTCTGGCACTGTGGCACCTATCAGAGAGCCTTCCAAACCCATGGAACTAAAATGATGAGATTTAGGGCTAAAACAGACATATTCAAGAGAAGCTATGGAAGATCTTTTTTTGCATGAAAAAGAAGTAAGAAAATAATAGTTCTTTGTGAATGGCACAATGGTTGATTCACAAGACAACCTACTGTATGGTCATTTCATGATAACGATTATAAAAAATACTATAGATTTTACCTCCACTGTTGATGGAAATGGGATTCTGCCCCTTTAGTCATTGTAACATAAATTTCACATCCCTGAAATATTTAACATTAAGAATATCTGATGACGAGGTTAGGGCAATCGTAAAGTAATAAAGAAACAATATAATTAGTAGGGACAAAAGCAAGCTTAAGTTTTTTTCGCACAGATGCTATAAAAAGGGTACTTGCTTTATTGCATCACATGAATTCGAGAAGTTCTGCAGCATGAACTCAACAAGAAATCTTTTTCCTCTAGTATCAATATATAAGTACATTATGATAGCTTATCTGCAAATGAAGGGTCATCCATTAGCAGTTTTAGATTGATGATATGCTCATTCAATCGTATAGTATGTGTTTGCGCATCATTGAGAGTTCCACTTTTGCCACCACAAGGTTTTTCCTTGAGAAGGGGGCGGTATGAGAACCTCCATCATAGTATCCTTTTCCTTTGGCGTTAATGGAACACCTCTAATGAGGTTTAAAGCCATCACATGCACGTTGGTCTTTTGTCTGTACCTATTGAAAGCCCATATTCCTCCAGCAGCACCAGCAACCAACAACTGTGTTTGTGTGTTTCATGATCTGATATTAGACGATGTAGGAATAGAAATGAAGAAAAACTGAAAAATGGTTGGGAAATTTATTTGACTTACAGGTGACAACCACAGAGCAGCAGTTTGGATATCGAATTTCGGGGTGTAAAGCACTGTCTCTCCATATTCATCCTCCAGCTTATTGAAGATCTCTTTGTCACTTTTCCCGGATCGGATTTCATCTCGAATTAACTTGAGTAGAAAGAACACAGAATTAGAGGAACATTAGATAAACATAGAATGGAACATGTTGGAACATACCTTTGTGGTATGCTATTTTTGGAATCAATTGCGATAGAAATGGTAATTTACAACAGGATCTTAAACATTTTGGGATAATGAAGCAAACATATACCTAAATCCACTAATAGATAGTGAAACAAGCTCAGTTAGTGTGTCACCTAGGATCGTGTTTGAGTGCAACTCAAAAATGCCATTGGAAGTATTCATGGCTCAGCATTCCTAATGAAATTTTATACTAAGTTACATAACATTATCTCTAAATTCCTCTGTATTGGCTTTAAACATATCTCTCGATGGACCAATGAGATGGAAAATATTTTCAGTAAACACATAGTGAGAGGAAATGATAGCTTTCTCAACATTTTGGGGTCTTCTAAGTTTGTTCTCTTCTTAAGTTTGGGTTTCATTTTCCCCAAATGAGAATAAACTACTTTTTCTCTCCAAAACATAAAGATAGCGAGACAGAACAATTGGCAGATAAATGCTGAAAAAGCTTAACTATAAACACCAATAGCACCTACTTGAACCCCACGGTGCACCATGCCATACTGAAGTTTGATCCAAATTATCGAGCATTTTATGCTATTAGTTTCTTCTAAAAACAGCATATGAGCGATAAGATACAGACAGCTTTCAATTACAATAGAATAAAAGCAACATATCATGGTGTGGTATTTACCACCCAAAAGGAACTATTGAAAGATGGAAATAATTGTAGAAAATAAATCAAAGAAAACTTCCTTGAAGGAAAGAAATGTAAAAGAAAAGAAATGAAAAACTATTGCATCAATGTAACAAGAATCACTCGCTGACTTCCCAACTGCCTTTGGATGCAACAACTTATGGATTCAGAAATTCATTTTCTACCTATAAACATGAAAGAATATATCTGTGTGTGTATATATATATATATATAAAGTACACCATCTTCAATCACACAAAGCCTATAGCAAACTCATCTGTGAAATAAATTCAACCCAAAAATATCAATCTCATCAATTTTATTAGAATTCTTAACCTATGGAAACTAACAACGAGAAATTCCATTATACGCAATCACTCCCCATCTCACTGGATCTTCGTAACAATCATCTCTTTCATCTGCATGCTGGCAAAAGGTTAGGGTCTGTTTGTTTGTGCTTTCAAACTTGCGTTAGGAATATGTAATCTACAGTAAAATTCATTTAGAAATAAAAACATTCAATTCCTAGTTTCAATTCAAAACTTATTTTCATTCCAAACATAGTATCTAACAACCATTGGCCGTTGAAATATTACATTCAGAACATCAATGGCTAGTTTCCGCATAAAAGTCACATTTAAATCAAACAACCTAACATACAAATCATTCCAAACACAAACAACCTAAAAATATTGCACCTTACGAAGGAGAATCGCAATGTCGGCTTGTGAATCTTCAATGGACTGACTACCACACTCGGTACACCTCACGTTGTGGCTGATATTCCTGGCTCTCGCTTCCACCACTCTCTCATTCTTAACCTCATCCTCGTTGCTCTCCATCGTCGCTTTCCAAAACTCCTCTAGTCTTGAAATCACGCAAACACCAAAAAATGAAAAAGAAAAGGGAAACGTAAGCCTTAATTGGTCCCAAGATATAATAATTACAATTCAATCCACTCATTCGGTCCACAGGCATTTTATCAAACAGTATGCGTGCGCCAATACTGATCGCGGTTTCAACATCACAGTTGGGTGTTGTTTCGGAAATATTCCATGCCGCAACAAACAAATTTCTTCCCAATGTAATTTGATCGGTTCTCGTGGAATCGCAAAGAACAGGATGAACCGCACGGGAGATTCAGAAACAATAAAGAAGAGAAACCACCATAGGCAGCAGCTGCAGTACCTTAGGGTTGAAAAACGAATTCAGAAATCCGTGTTGCCGGAGCTTCGAATCAATCAAAGTCGCAGAGACGAATGAACTCCGAGGAAAACAGCCGAAGTGAAATTATCGTTGAAATATACATGTAATCAAAAAATAAACCGTTTATTGCTACCTTAATTTACTTTTTAAATATTACATTACTTTTATTTTTTTTTCTTTTACAAAAATATCAAAGAAAATAACAAGAGTGAATATTAAAAATTTAATTTGAATAATTGTTATAAAAATTGATTCGAAGATGTTTTGAATATTAAATAAATTTATAATATAATATAAAAAAATAATTATTATTATTTAATTTTATATTTTTATAAAAAAAATTGAATAATAGTAAAATCTACAAAAGATCACAATACAACTTTTTTTTTATAATTTTCTAAGACAAAATCTTCCAAAAACTTCAATCCAAAGGATCTAAAATATTTGAGAAATCTATGTAAAAAATCATTAATTAATGACAAGTTCATTGACAGAAAATAGGAGGGAGGGAGCAACTCCATGGATTGGTGATGCCATCCTAATTTTTCAGACCTCCCTGTATCCATCTTCATGCAATTTTAAGCAGTGGTTAAAACACAAGAAAATCTACAAATGATTGATGAAATACGAAACTACCCACAAATAACTCTTCAAATTTTCCGTGTGATTTTCGCTAATGCAAACAAATTTTTAAAAAAATATGATGCACATAATTTGAAGTCAAGAATCATCATCATCATCAGGAACAAGAAGAATATTATAATAAGCCAAAAAGACAGAATGAGAATCAGAAGTCAGCAACAGCAGGAGGAGGAAGAAGAGACATTTCAATGTCTTGGAGAGACTTCCCTTTGGTTTCCACAACATGTTTCCTCACAAACACCATTCCGCAAAAGCAGAAGCTCCCAAATATACTGTACAGCACTTTTGGCCCCAGCAACTCCAGCAGTTGCAGGAATAATAACCCCACAAAGAAATTTACGCCCTGATCAACACCACAACCAAGAAACAAACAAACAATTCATCATTCTTTTCCAAACATTTTCTAAAAAGCTAAAAGAGGAGTCGGAAAGACTGATTACCCAATGCACACCCATGCAAAGAGCCATTGCTTTAGCTCTAATTCGGCTAGGGAATATCTCAGATAGGAGGAGACCAGGCACCGGTCCGGCTCCCAAAGAAAACGTCAAGACAAACCTGTATCAACTGGGGTTAGTTTTGCGATATATGATGTATTCACCAACAGAATATGTGCAGCCATGTTACTTACAGAGCATAGCAGTCTCAGATAGGATTTGATACTAAACTATACCAATAAATCAGGAGGTAATGAATAAAACTAATGAATTGTTGATACCAAGTAAAATTATCATGTTAGCTCATACTTTATAGGGCCACATTGCACAGGATACTCACAGCATCATCCCGCCAACGGATAGATACATCTTTCCAGAAGCAGGTAAACTGTCACTTCCTGCAAGGACTTGAAATCCCATTGCTACTGCCTGATAAAATAATTATCTCACGATTAACCATTTAATGATCCAAAAATTACAACTTTCAGATCACTGCAGGATGGTTCTAAAAGAAACAACAAGAAATTTACTTGCCATGCCCAAGAAACTCCAAACAAGAAGAGGCTTCCTTCCTAATTTATCCATCAAAATCATTGCAACAATGGATCCTGAAAACGTCACAAAGAAATCTATCAGAAATGTCTTGAGACATTGGAAACATAGAAGATATCTTGCTTTGCATGGCGTTACCTGCTGTGTTGACGACTCCCACACATATGTTTCCAATATCTGAAGGAACTCCAGCACTTTTAAATACAGTTGACGAGAAATAAAATACAGCATTTATGCCAGATAGCTGTTGCAAAGCATAAAGGACTGCCCCAATGTATACCACTGACACAAAAAATTAAAATGAAAACAATAAATCAAACAACACGGATATGATGTGGCTAATGAATGTAGGACACTGTGATTATACCTGTATAATGACGCCCGTGGAATAAATCTGAAAATTTAATTGCATTCACATCATCCCCTTTGTCTGATTTGTACAATTCTGCCACTGCAAATTTAACATGTGGTGCTCCAAAAAGCCTCTCAAATTCAACCTCAGTGTCAGCTACTCTTCCTTTCTGAAACGATAAGAAAAGATGATAATGACCCTTGTATCGTTACCAACACAGATAGCAGAGAGTGAAAATGGAAAACCATGCAGTATAAAAAGAGTGGAGTGGAAGGACACATAATCATTAGTATAAATGGTGTGAGAAGTGAGACATACCTTGAAAAGCCAATGTGGAGACTCAGCAGAGAACTGCATGAAAAAAGCTAGTAGTGCGGCAGGAACAGCAGAGACCCAAAAGCACATTCTCCACCTGCAAGCACCATTCAGCATAAGATCCTATAACCAGAATCTGCACTGGCAAACTAGAGGACTGTGATGCTGTCAAGTAAGGTCAACATTCCAGAAGACAAAACATCAATAAGCCTTGTCTAGTCAACTAAAAATGCTCGTGAAATGCATCTTACCAACCAGGAATTGTCTTGGCAGGAATTCCAACGAAAAGTGCTACCAAGAGTCCAAGGCACGCTGCAATCTGGGTGAAGCTGCCATAAGTTCCCCGCACAAAATCTGGAGAAACCTGGTTAAATAGGCAGTAAAGGTTTGAGAGATCAAGTTTTGATTCAGGCATGTGGCACAAAATACATTATTGCCGTACGTAATACCTCCGACACATATAGAGCTGCAACTGGGGGACCAAGACCCATCCCAGTTCCAACCAAGAACCTTCCAAGAAGCATACCTGATAGATTGCTTGTTTGGGCACTGAGAAGTAAAAAAGACTTTTCAAGTTACAAATTGAATCTAGATAACAGAACCAAAAAGGAAAAAACTCTATCAAACTGCCAATGTACTTATCGTTTTAAGATTGTGAGGCTTTCCACCTTAGAAGATGAATAAAGAAAAAACAAGATACACAGGTATGTTACCTCATGCATGCACCAGCTATCATTAATAGAGCACATAACTGAAATGATCTCTTACGACCGAGGCCATCAGCTATCGAACCACTGAATATACAGCCAAGAAATGCACCTCCTAAGCATGTACTCACCACCAAACCTTTGCATCATAATAAAAGATTCCTTAGGCCTAATATATTAAAGTGTGACAGATGAGAAACGATTGAAAAGGGAAGCACCTTCAGCCAAAGCGTCACCGCTGAAGCCTAGGTCCTGAGAAATGCTCTCCAACGTGTCATTAACAACCCTGAATAATGTTAAGTAATAAGGTTATTCTTCTTAATTTACCACCAGATCAAGATGAAAACAAACTAAAAGGAGATCGCACAGACCCCAGATGATAGCCATACAACAGTGATGCCATAGTTGCCACCAGTACGTGTGGCAATGGACGCTTCCATGAAGGATTTCCAACATCCCTCCACAAATCACTCTGTGATATGCCTGAAACAGCAGATGAATTTAATTTTTTATTTTTTTTTAGGTTCCAACTCTTTACTTAAGCTAAAGTCATTCACTTGTGTGCTCCAAAATATACTGCACGGCTTTCATGTTATGAATGTACCACCAATAACAACAGAACATCACAATTCCAAATTTCATAAAGAGGTGGTTTATAATTCCAAGATTCATCAACTGACATGACTGGGACTTAACTCAGGCAAATAACAGAAGGCCATCCACATCAATGTTAATGAAAGTAAATAGGCTAACAGCTTTTCAATGTGCAAAGTGGCAGTACCTAAAAGTTCTTCCCTATCAGAGCCGTTGATAGATTCTCTAGAAGATACACGTTTGTACATCGAGAAGTTTTCAATATGGCGCCCACGCATGCCTCAGTTCACTGCATACATTTAATTGAACTCTGCAAGGTTGTATTATTTCAATTATTCGTCATATCAGCGCCAATGCGTGGTAAATAATAATATAAGAATTCCGAAAATCCAATACAAATTTTAAATCCTATGATCTGATTTCACAGCACAAATTTCAAACTCTGCAATTCATTCCAAATCAATTTTGTCAGAAAGTTTTCTAACAAAAACCAAGAGGCAGAATCTCCCTACAATAAACCAAAGTCTCACAAATTTACAATAAATAAAAAAAGAGTTTCGAATAACAACTAGCTTAGCATCCGATCAACCATGTCTATTAAATAATCATAAACTAAAATTAAAGAACAAAGCAACATAGCCTGTAACAGAAATCCAAGTGAAAGCATAACCGCAACACAATCATCATCGTCAGCATCACGCACTCAACAGAACTCACTCCAATCATCATCCAGAGTCGTGCGAAGGTGCAGAATCCGTATACACCAACATTACTACACAGCAAAAAAAAACAAAATCATCTATGTCACCTGACGGCACATGCGATATGATGTGATGCAATGCAAGAGCAAATCGAGAGATTGGCGAGACAGCAAATCCGGAGAGCGCAGTGAGAAAAGGATTGACAGGATCTGGTTTGTTAGCGTTCCTTCGGTACAGTGGTGCGTGCGAGAAGAAGAAGCATGTGAGGTGGGGAGGGTGGCGTGGGGTGCGCGTATCCGAGAAGAATTCAGTGCGGCGAGGCGAGGAGAGTGTAATTTAAGGAATTATGCAAATCAACTATAACGAGTCTCAGACGGAGCGACACCTGTCTGATGGATGTAGCTGTACACCGTAAATGGCCATGATCCGCTACTCCGCGCCTCCATACTACCCAAAAAATGGTACAATACTCAATTTTAGAAATATCATACTAAATAATTCAAAAATAATAGTAATTAATTAAATACAAATTAAAATTATACTAATAATCAATTAATTTAATTACAATTTAAGTAAAAAAAATCAACTAAAAAACATTTAAACTTAAATAGTAAATTCTTATAGAATTGGGTAAACTAATTTTCGTACTCTTTTATCAATTTTTTTTAGTAGGATTTTAAGTGGATTGTTTGAAAATAGTTTTGTAAGTAAAAAATTTTCTCTAAAAGAATCCTTCGGTGCCGAACTGTTGCTGCCGTAGCGCTGACGCGACTGAAATGTCAATTGTCACGTCAGCGACACTTGAATTTTTTTAAATTTTTTATTTTACAAAATATTTTAGGAAATTATTATTATTTTTTTTAATATTGTATACAACTTCTTTATCATTTTTACAATTTTAAATGAATTATGTATAAAATTAGTTTTGCAAGTAAAAATTTTCGCTAAAATGGTTTTCGACCGCTGTTATTTACTTGGACAGAATCCACCTAAACTTGTAAAATAATAAAAATGTTAGATCAAGAACTAAAGACCAGTTTACTTTATAGAATTTGATTTGATTTTTCATTTATTTAAATGATTTTTAAAAATTAAAAAAATATATATTTTTTTATAAATCATGACATAAAATTAAAATAAAATTTTAAAATAGCTACAATAATAATGAATAAATAAAAATTTAAAATTAAACCATTGAGTTGTACTTTTAAATTGATCAGTTAAGTTCGATGTTATAATATATATGTAGTCAGCAGTAACTTTATTGAAAACCCGTATAATTTTGACACGTACTTTATTTTACGTTGTATTGATGAATCACGTGCCGATCGGATTTTTGTAGTCAAATATGTGAACCGTTTTAATTTTATTTTATTGAGAAGACAAACCAATCACATGGGGGCAAAATATACGTGAAGTTTTTATTTACTCCCGGTATTTTATTAGAGGTATAATTAGTAGATAATTAATAATGTATTAGTGAAAATAATTATAAATTAAAATTAAAATAACTAATTAGTTTAATTAAAATTTATAAAAATAAAATTTAAAAATTTAAAATGAGATTAAAGTGTATAATCATTTTTAAAAAAAATGAACGTGGTATGTGGGACGGACAGAAACGGCAACGTGTACATGGTATCTGGGACGGAGAGAGTATTATTTAATATTTAATTTAGTACTATTTTTTATAATATTATATTAAATAATCTATTTATTATATATAAGCAACTTATGTGTAAGCTACTATTTTATAGTTTTTTTTTTTATTTTTCTTAATGCGAACCGTGATTTACATTTGGGAAAAAATTAATTTTTGTTTCATATTATACAATATTAATCAATTTTAGCGGAGAAAAATAATATGCCTAAATTGTGGTACATAAATTTAGTTGAGAGAAAAAAATTCTCTGTATTTTAAACTTGCACACCTAAGTTCGAATTTTGTTAACTTGAAAATATATTCTTACATTTACTATCACAGTCTCGATAGTATGTGAAAATGCTACCAAACAATTATACTTTTAGGGAAAATATAAGAAATATACATTTTTATAGTATTTTATTTTACATTTATGGGCGTAAAATTGATGTCTTTCTTTCAAAACAAAAAAAAAAAATATATCTCTATGTTATTCAAATTTATGTTCACTTTTCTTTTTAAGTTGTCATTGAAAAATATTCTCGTTTATTATTACATTTTCATAATTTTTTTACTATAAAAAAAAATAACCATTATTACTCACTTTTATTAAAACTCATGCTCGATCAAATAAGCACACGTTTGCACGACAGATGGAGTAATTAGCTATATTGTATATTTTGTGAAGAAAATTATCATATGATTGAATGTTTGTTACATTCACTAGGGGAAAGTCATAGTTTTATCCAAATATACATTTATGATACACATAGTAAAATATATAGAAGAATGAGTCCATTGCTGGATTTGAAAAAAATAATACTTCTTCCGTCCCAAATGTCGTGTTTGCTACACTGTAGACAGTGTATTTTATGAGGAGTGTAATTAGTAGATAATTAAGAATGTATTAGTAAAAATAATTATCTTATAATATAAATAATTATAAATTAAAATTAAGATAACTAATTAGTTTAATTAAAATTAAAAAATTTAAAAAGAGATTAAAGTGTGTATTCCAAAAAAATAAAGTGACATGGTATGTGGGACGGACAGAAACGACAATGTGGACATGGTATATGGGACGGAGGGAGTAATAAAAATAAAAAGTAAATAAATCAATTTTTGGAGGTATTTATTAGGGGCAAACAAATAATGTAATTGAAGCGAATCATTATGCTTATAAGAGAAGTGTTGCATTTTGATCATGAAGTGGAATTATATATATATAAATTTTGCATAATATAATAAGACTTATATCAATCCAACAGTTAATGAAATTATAATATTGGTTGTTGAAGAAAATTCTAATAATTCATGATATGACGATATAATTTTATGCAAAAGAAAAATAAATAAATAAATAATAGTAATAAAACTTTGAAGAAATCAAAAGGTTTGTTTACCCGTCATTTTTTTCAACAAGATTCTCAATTTACATTTTATCTTTTAAAAAATTAATATTTAATATAAAATGTTTACATAAAATATTTATATTAACGATATAATTATTTATATCTCACATAATAATAATTTATATCTCACATAATAATAATAATAATAATAATAATTTAAATCAAAACGTTAAACAAATCCTTGATAATATACTGCAATATTCATTATTACTCGCTTATGACACAAATAGATAAGTTCTTGTATTCTTTATGATAATTCAGATAGTCAAACATATTTTATATTTAGAACATTCAATTTAAATAATTCAAGATATAAGCGGCCCAGTCCAGGCCCAGATTCAAACTGCATCTTGACCCATTGTTACAGCAATATTCTGGCAATATTTTTTAAAATAATACTCCCACCTCCGTCCACACGCAAAGTATATATTTACCTTTGGCATGGTGTTTAAAAAATAATAGTATTTTAATTATAATGGGTAGTTAAAAGTAGTGTAATGACATTTTTGCCTTTGCTTTTTAGCATAAAAGTAACGATGTGACGTAAAGTAAGGGTATTTATGAAAAAAAGTGAGGTATTTAATAAAATATTTACTTTGTAATTTGAAGTTGGACGGAGGGAGTATATATTATATTAAATATCTATTTTCGTTAAAATATGGCTCTAAACGAACCAACATGTAAAAAAAATAATAAACTATACATATTTATTATTTTTATATTTTTTATATATTTTTTTATATATTCATATAAAAAAATTTTATTTCCAACAATCTCACAAAATAATCGCACTCGTAGCATTAAATAGTAAACAAAATAGATTGAGTTTATTTTCTGATGGATGTGCTTTTTATATATTTATCATATAGGTTGGTAGGAATATATTTTTATTAGATATTGTGTTAGTATATGTATATTATTTTTTTTAATAATATTTATATAAGAAATTAAAAATACTAAATGAACCAATCACAATATTCATTAGAAAAATAAAATAACATTATCAAAATAAAAAACAAAATTAATAAATATGTGATATAATATTTTATAAGTAAACATAAATATTTAATGTAATATTTATTTCAAATATTACCACTAATAAATAACTTCGATAACTTCCAACAATGTACCTGTACATGCCTTCATTGTTTTCGGCACAAAATAAATTGTATACGTTTGTAAAAAATATATAATAAATAAATAAATAAGGGTAAACTGTTTTTTTTAGTCCCGTAATTGGACTCTTTTATCATTTTAGTTCCGTATGTGGAGCCTGTCGCAAACTAGTCCCATAAGTGAAAAATTTTCGTTGTTTTGGTTCTGCGGCGCCGGAGACGCCCGCGTGGCTCGCCGGAGGTGAAGTGTCCGCCAAGTGTCCCGCCAGGTCAGCGACACCTGACGGACACGTGGATTTTTTTTTTTTCATTTTTTTTTAATTAGACCAAATAAAAAAATAAAAAAATACAAATAAAATTAAAAATAAGTTTTAGAAAAATGAAAAAAAAATTAAAAAAATCCACGCGGACACGTCACCTCCGGCGAGCCACGCGGGCATTTTCGGCGCCGGAGGACTAAAACAGCGAAAATTGTTCACTTATGGGACTAGTTTGCGATATGCTCCACTTACGGAATTAAAATGATAAGGGGGTCCAGTTATGGGACTAAAAAACAGTTTACTCAATAAATAATAAGTAAATGAAATCAATTTTTTAGTACTTATCCCATGTTTTGCATCATAATTACTATAGATACAGTAATTTAATAGGAATATCATTAGTAAATAATAAAAAAATATATTAATAAAAATAATTATTATATAGTATAAATAATTATAAATTAAATTTAAGAATTATTTTAATTAAAATAAAAAATATATAAATTAAAAAGTTTTGCATATAATTAAAATATATAATTTTTTTTTTTTTAAAAATACTATAAAGTAGGACTAGGAGGGAATATAAATTGAAAATAAAGAAGTGGACACACCTTAAATACGCTACACAAGTTGGTATCATTTATGTCACTTGTCGGGCATCGTTAAATGACGCAGACGTAAAGTGAAATGAAAATAAATAAATAATAATAAGTATATAAAGAAATATATGGATTTTATCAAAATTATTGAATACCGCCAAAAATGCAAACGTGTTATTTGTACTGAATAAAATGTACCCTCACAAATCTCGTGCCAAATTAAATATTCTTTTATTTATACTCTATTTAATTTTAATGATAACGAGTTATATATATATAGTACTATTTTTAAAAGTATTTATTTTATTATTTAAATACAA